AGACAATGAGGAACCATTCGCAACAGACTCGGATCTATCAGATCCCGACATCTATGATGTTAATGCGGTCGACTGGGACCTCAATGCTTCCCCGCTCCACCTGGCAATCATGAAAGGCCATGTGGAGGCTGTTGAGGAGCTTGTCACGAACTTTGGGGCCGATGTGCTGCTTCCTATCAAATCATCCAGCGATTCATCCAGCACTAAACGCTCTGCCACTCTCACGCTGGTCCTGGCTCTTGGGCTGCCTCTAGAGCGGGCGAAGATAATGACAGCAAAGCTCTTACAGCTTGGTGCATCTCCTGCCCAGGCGGACTTTGATCATAGAACGCCTCTTCTATACGTTGCAGGAGTAGGACACGAGGATATCCTTGACCTTTACATACATTATGACCAGCCAGCCGTCCTGCGGGCTCTAAATCATCTGTCTGTGGTTGAAATCCGCTATAGGACACTTTCCGTGGAAACTCCCCTAATAGCAGCTATCGGGGCGAAAAACTTAACTCTAGCGAGTAGATTCCTCCAACTTGGGGCACGCCCCTTGATAAGCTTCCAGGAGTTTATGGGCGCCGCACAAGATATCTCTTGGGTTCGATCTCGACTAACAACGGAGAACCGGCAGGATTTCGAGGAGGACTTTGATCAGCCAGTCACCTATGCAATTAAGAACGATCTTCCGTTACTCGCAATGGAATTGCTCGCTCGAGATGCCGATCCAAATACCCTCACTCGAGAGGGGCACGTTGCGTCTGGGAAATCGTACTACGCGTCAAGAACTACTGGTTCCTCCTTGTTGGATTCTGTTCGCGCTAGGTTGGCCGCTTCTCGCGGCTACAAGGGGGAAAAAGTCAGTGTTGTACCTCCTGCGGTTTTGGATTTTGACGACAGCACATACTTAGACGAGTTCAATCCGGGCACATACTAGTGCTGGACGGCAAGGGGGATGCTTGCACAGAAAAGGAAGAGCGTCGAGCGAGAAGGGAAGAAATATAGGGAGGCAGTGGAGGCCGCAAACAGCAAGGAGGGCTTGGAAGCAAAGAAGGCGGCGATTAAAGAACTCACTGATGCTTATGAGAAGCTAGAGTCGGATTTACTCTAGCGAGGCGCCAAAACCTTTCAAGAGCTTCGACCAGATATCAAGCCTCCTCAGCCTAGTGATGTTCAACCCTCCAAGACTTCTCCTTTCGCTTTCTCTCTTAGCTTCAAGGGCTCTGTCATTATAGGAGACAAACGAGATGACTATTTTAAGCTGTAAGCAGCGCTCTTTTTTTTTTTTTATGCTATTTCTCACATTTCACAGGTTCGAAGCCGCGTGGACCGGCGACTTTGAAACTATCAAGAACCTTATTATAACCGGATCTGATAGAACAAGGTACCGGACATCTCTGGAAATTGCTGTCTGCGATAGTCGTGGATTCTCCGCATTTACCATTGCCATCCTCCGTGGACATCTAGACGTTGCGCATGGAATCATGGCTATCGCGGCTTCCCATTATAAGCCCCCACAAGAGCCTCAAGCCCGGTACCGGATACGCCAGTATGGCTTGGACGACGACTCTGACGCAACTTAGTTTGACGAGTCCAACGGTCTGCAACTGGATAAGGAAATTAGGAATACTCAGTTCATTATTGATAATGTGGGCCAGATAAAGTCCGAGGTCGAGAGCAAATTAGGCCCTCTATCCATTCTGGATGCGGAGTGCGATATGGACCCCTTCTTAGAGGAGGCCACGGACCAAAATGGCAACAGCCTGATGCGTTACGCAATCTTCACCGACGACACGAAGCTGTTGGCCTTTCTCATCTCCCTCGGACAGCAGCTCACCGAGTGGTTTCCGGAGGATCCAGCCAACCCCACGCCGTACTATGTTTATCACGACGACCTCTACTTGGCAATGCACCTCGGGAGGTTGCATTGTCTAGAGATTCTCGTCAAGCGAACTGCAGCAGGGGTGGATTTCGACGAGCTAGTCGACGAAGGTGAGATTGAGGGCAAGGAAGCGCCCGAGTACTATCGCGGTCTCTCGGTGCGTGGTAAGAAGCGTGATGACTGGGCACGTCGTGGCCAGACAGCCACAGAGCCAGACACACCGCCGCCGTTGCTTTATGCGGCGAAAATGGGGAACCTGGAGAGCGTGCAGTGGTTTCTGGGTCCTGCACCGGCTCGCTGCTACAATGCATTTGTTGCAGGCAACAAGAATGATCTGGGGGTGAGGAAACTGCTTTTGACAGAGAAAGGTCCAGTGAACATGATCCGTGATTTCCTGGAATCTAGGTGTAAGTAAACGGACCACTTTTTTGTGACGAAACTGACCTGACCGTCCTAGGCCATTTGCTCCTCCATTCGGCCGTTATAGCCGAGGAGAACTAAGAGTCCCTAGCCCTCGTGGAGTATCTTGCCAACAACATGCGCCATCTGTTGGACGCGAAGAATGTGGTTGGTTATACGCCCTTGATAGTCGCATTCCGCCTTGGTCGATTTGCGTTTGCAAAAATCCTTATACAAGCCGGAGCAGATCAGACGGTCCGGGACGTCGATGGTAGAAATCTGTTACATGTGCGAATTCAACATATGAGTCGCTCGCGGCCTACCGACTGGTCTATCCGAGAGGCGCTCGAACTGCTCGATCGTCAGCTCCTCCCATCCATGCTGACCGCTCGCCGTCTTTCCGGCGACGTAATCCACACACCCTTTGCTTGGTTGATTTTGTGCATGAGTCTTGACGCGTCGACATTACCGGGACTAGCCGCTAGTCTAAATTATGTCAAGCCTCTAGGTTGCAAGCACCTGGAGCTCTTGGACAGCGAGGGGGACACCCCATGCCACGGACGGGGGGTCATATCATGGGAGCTTATCGATTTGCTTCTGGCGTACGAACCTGAGCTCGCGGCCAAGGAGAACGTCAACGGGCTCACGCCGGCGGACGTTGCCGAGCAGAAGTTGTTTGCCAAGGCTGCTAAGCCTCCGCATATTCCACAGCAGTCGAGCTCTCGCAACCTAGGCGCAGGCGCTGTCGGAAAGGAGCCGTGGACGTTTGTGCACCAGACAGGAAAAGGAGTGCTGTTAGCGAACAGGCGGAGAATTTATGAGCGGTGCTGCTTAGGCGGAAGCGACGGGGACACAAGGAGGAGAAAGCTGGTGACGCTNTTACAGTCGGTGATCACCTGACGCCCGGTCCCACCTGACGCCCGATTTCACCACCACCAGCGATATCGAATATGAAGCAATTCAACCACATATAATTATTATTATCGCGTGATCTTTTGGTGGATGAATATAGTCATTATTAGGACTCTATATACAGTTTTTAATTGGTCCGAAAGCGCTGTGGGAGCCGGATCTCGCGGCCTCGACGATTTACTGTTGGAGAGGCCTCTGGGACTTCTATAGGCGTTGTTAGCCTGGTTTCTATAGATTTTTGCTGGCGTGAAGCTTTAGAGACCTTCTTTAGAGTCTTCTTCACCTGCTGGAAGTCATTTTAAAGCTGGCGATCTGCCTCCTTTACTAGGCGAGCATCCTCCTTTTATTATTTCTTTCGCTCTGCCTCTAGCAGCCGTAATTCTCGCTGGGATACTTGATTTCTCTTTCGCTCTTCAAGTAAACGTTGTTTCTCCTCTTTAGCAAGCTATCAACGGACCTTCTCTTGCTCCTTTGACGCCTTGGCGAGTTGTATAGCTTCATCCTTCTACGTTTAAAGATCACGAGCCTGCTGAACCTTTTAAGGAGAGTAAAAAACTGCACCACCATTCTCAGGGGCCGCGAGCTCAAACTGTAAGGGTTTCCCACGTTAACGCTTCTTCTTCTCATTCTAGAGGGCTGATTCGAGGCCTTGGCAACGTAGTTTCAGGATAATATTCTCTATAGAGAGATAATGCATCGTTAAGCTCAACTTCTTAGTGTTTTTATCATATATATCAGTGACAACTCGATTTAAAAGTTTCTTAATCTTCCGCCAGTCCTCTGCCTGTAGGATAGAGCGCGAGGAATCGCTTAAGGAGGGCCTAGAGTCTTTCTACTTATTAAATCGAACTAGAACTATTTCCGGATTCAGTAGCCATATCCCCACAGTTCGCTATGAAGAAAGGATATTACTTGTTAATAAGGCCTGTTCCCAGGCTGGCCAGAAGAGGCGGAAGAAGTCCTTTTTAGTAATATGACTGAGGCCCATTTATTTATGTAGAAAGTCCTCGAGATTCTTACTATAAGCGGTGGAGAGAGGGCTGAAGATCCCAACATCAAGCGGCTGCAGCGAATGAGTTGAATGAGGTGGATATGTCATTAGTAGGATCCTATTAGTGTCGTAGTAATCGATAAACTTCATGGTAAGGTGAGATCCGTGACCATCAAGGATAAGAAGCCTCCATCGCCTGCGCGCCTTATCCTTGGTCTCGCGGTCGAATATATTGGTCAACCAGGCGTATCCTAGCTCATCATTGGTCCAACCACTTGCAGAGGAGGCGAAGAAGCAAGAATGAAGCTCAGGATCAAAGTCTTGAAGCCAGGAATCTTGTATATTACTAGTAGAAGCCTGGTAAATAAGACCCAGTGAGAGAGAGGTTCTATCAGTATAAATACAAGCAATTGAAGTTATCCACTCGCGATTCCCATCCTACAGGCGTTGCTTAAACCCTTCTCCAGTTATATATTTCTGCTTCGAGAAGATCCTAAGGCCTTTAACTAGTATTCCAATAAGAAATCCTTTCTCGTCCATATTATAGATATCCTCTGGCCGTAGCTCGTATTGCTACATCTTCTAGCTTAACAACTCGAAATATAGAGTGTATCTGTATACGGAATCAGCTCGTTTTCGCGCGGCATCAATAGCTGTTGTATAGGTTGAGATAAGGTTATCTTAGTGACGCTTTATAAAGCGCCCAGGCTAGTGTTTTCCAGGCTTCTCGCCAGTAATTTCCTTTGCAAAATTCCGAAGCATCTCATGGGACGTGAAGAGGCCTCGCTCGGTAAGCTTATTAATATAGCTTATTAGTTCTTTTTCATGTTGGTTGGTAAGAACTCGCTGTTGCTCATATTGGTGGTCCCTAGGGCGCTGTACCCCGCGGTGGCGTCTTGATAGCGTTGTCTGATCAACACCAAACTCTTTCGCAATCTTTGTATAATTAATTGAATCGCCAATCTTCAACGAGTTAATTGCTTCTATCGCGGCTTCAATTGAACCCATATTGATTGAGATATAAGCTGTTGAAAATTATCGAAAAAAACAGTCGGTGAGGGGAAATCGGGCGTCAGGTGGGACCGGGCGTCAGGTGATCACCGACTGTAATCCATTTGTCGCTTGCGTCACCCCCAACTTCATCACTCAGTGTGGCTCTCAGCTACTGTTAATATTTTTTAAAGCATCTGTTTGTATCTGGCTTGTGCTCAAGTCGAATCTGTTGGCTAGATGGATGACTTGGTCTTCGGGTTTGACTCGATGCCACCCTCAACAACACCCACGGACAAAGCACAAGTCTGCTCGAAGTAAGAGAATAGACCAGATCCCCAGCAAATCCTCAACCGCAGAAGCGGCATATACGCTATATCGTATGATCGGGCAGATAAACCTCGAATCGATGATAATTTTCCCCGTTCTGATCCTGCGGCGCCATCTCCTCCGGAGAAAGACTCGCCAAAGCCCGCCTTAATCGCCGTAGCGTCGCCTGGCTGCGCTGGATCTGGGCCCTGAGCTCCTCCCTTGACACCATTTCTCTACCATCACCCATCATCTTCTCACCAGTCCACCCCCCGTTGCTTTTCTTACCCTTCTCCCCAAGAACCCACCTCGCTCTCGCCACCATCCCTGGCACACGGACAACCTCCCGATATGTCCAATCAATCAAACTAACAAGCCTACACTTCTTCCCCCGCCGATCCTCCCTCTCAAACGCCCTCGCATTAACACTCGCCCACTCGCGCTCTGCAAGAAAGCACTCCTCACAACTAATCAACGCCTCGGCGATAAAGAACGCCCGTCACGAAAACACAATTGTCCTCGCAAACCCATTTAAATGTGCTGCCGCCCCGCGGCGTTTCAATATCTCCTTTGCACCACGTATATGCACCAGCCACGCGTCGGGGGAACTCCCGTCAAAGACCTCGTAGATGCCCAATAGCACCGCGACGGTGAGTGTAGTCTGCGATGTGGACTTGCGCGGATCATCGAGCGCAGATTGGAGATATCTAATCAACACGCTATAGATATACCGGCTCTGTGCGAGGAGGTCCGGATCCGAGTGCAGGGTTGCCAAGTGCCAGGTTGCGTAGCAGCGGACTGTCCATTCAATGGGTGGGCACTGTGCACGTTGGTCGTCGCGGACGAAGGCGACAATGTCTTGGTCGACGCGTTTGGAGAAGGCTGCAAACGTTGCAGGGAGGAGGACGCTGGAGAGGCCTGTGTTGAACATTTCGCGGGTTTGGACGTCTAGTGATTTGGCGGCTAGTGTAGGGAAGTGTAGGGTGTCGTTGGGGAGGCTCCAGATTGATGGGTGGGGGATCCGGTGAGGGTATGTGACTGCTTGCTGAAGGGTTTGCGATCGAGAGGGTTCCTTTCGTGCGTTTGTGTCTGGGGAGACGTCGCTGGTTACCAGTGGTGGGTCGTTAGGGTTGTGGCGCTCATGCCAATGGATGTGGCACTCCTCGGAGATCTCAGAGTCGCGTTTGGATTGCGAAAGAGACGTGGTGCTCGACATTGGCTCACGATCAGAGCTCTCGCACGCCAGTTGCCGCATATAGGCATCACAGCCGAGCTCACGCTGCAAACACGAGGCGCCTCGTTTCCTCCCTCCTCTGGATGGCCCAGCCAGAGCCTGATCCATGCTCTCAACAATATATACCCTGATTGATGATGTTAATATGGGACTGTTATGAGGCTCAGGATAAAATCTCGCGGCTGACAGGACGCCTTATGTCTCAATCTCGCTTCGTGAGCCAAGAACCCCCGCCGCATGCCCAGCGCCCGCCAAGTCCGCTCTATGGGCCTAAGGTGACGCGCCAATTTCCTAGGAATTCGACACGACCCGAACGGCATATGTATTGTATAGCCTGCTGATGCTGCTGACGCTTGCCAGCATGGCCAGACGGCCACTCTTGTCAACGCTGCAACCAAGCCGAATCTGATACCAGTAATGTTGAATAAAACTATCAAATAAGAGCAAAGACAAGGACGTCTCTTGTAATAAAACTTTCCCTTCACTCAAATTCAGGTTTTCATCCTGTGATGGTTGACCAGAGGCTCGGTTCAATTATGATGTTATATAACAGGACAGCAAGCGTAGCACAACAGTGAATAGGTGTCGTGCAGGAGTTTTGTACACTTTGTTCAGCCACGATCAAATAGGCATTCGAGCAAGACCTTCCACATCTAGGGCCGGCTCCTTGACATGCTGTTCCCCTGATCTAGCTATATTATTGGGCCTGCTCTCCCTGTTATGTTATTTTGGGTCACATTGGTTTTCCAAAACTTAATATCAGACCCCTGCGAAATGCATTCTACTTCTGAAAATTTCAAACAGAGTTAATCAATCAACGAAGCCTTTTGAGTACGAACACCGGTCCTGGTACTTCGACTACTCCAATTCGCGAGATGAAATTGAGGTCATCGCGTGGGTTGTCAGTCATTCGCATTATATACTGTTCGGAGTAAATTCTTTCCGAATGGTCGGCCAGTGTTCTGGCAAATCATTAATCCGCTCCGCCCCTGCCCGTCTTGCGGAGGGATGAAGCTTGACAAGGAGTTTGCTACGTGAAGCTTCAACCTGCTCCGTTTTCACATATACGTACCTGTGCGCCAACATATCTTGCGTTTACTGGTCTATTTAGCATGGGCGGCGAAGTACGTGCCATCTTTTCGCTGTTCAATGTCGGCCAGTTAAATGGTTTTGCGCATATCCCACACCCATCACGGAGCTTTGAGCCACAAAACACACTCTCGGCTTCGTGGTGTGACGCTCAGTAGCATTAAAAACCTACCCGATGCCCTCATATAACGGACGACGATGTGCTAAACGATTAGATATGTCACCTTCACATCGGCCAGGCTGGCACGCAGATGGGTAATGCGGCCTGGGAACTGTAAGTCTTTATTACTTTGTGATCCTTCTGGCAGTGGCTAATCGCTCGATTACTATCTAGTTACCTCCTCGAGCACGGCCTAACGGCCGATGGCCATGTCAATCCCGATATCGCTACGGACATCCACCGGAACGAATCCTTGGAGACAATTTTCACCGAGCTTGGCAATGGCAAATTCGTCCCTCGCTCCATCTTTGTCGACCTCGACCCTTCGGTGTGTAACGGGCGAGTAGGGAGCTGGAATTTGAGCTGACAGGTTCATGGTGGTATAGCCTATCGACGAGATACGCACTGGTACCTACCGCCATCTGTTCCACTCTGAGCAGCTAATAAGCGGGAAGGAGGATGCCGCCAACAACTGTCTGACCTCCGAATATTTGAGAGCCGCGTGGTAAGCCAAGCTAATGCGTTCTAGATGCTCGTGGTCACTACACCGTCGGCAAGACGCTTGTTCAAGGCGTCGTTGACCGCATTCGTCGTGTGGCTGGTGTGTATGAGAACCCTTCCCTGAGTCCTGGATTGTATATTAATTTCCTCGGAGATAACTGCTCTTCACTTCAGGGTTTTATGATCTTCCACTCCTTTGGCGGCGGTACTGGCTCCGGTTTCGGCGCACTTTTGCTTGAGCATCTCTCTTTAGAGTATGGCAAGATGTCGAAGCTGGAGTTTGCCGTCTACCCATCTCCTCGCACGTCGACTGCCGTGGTGGAACCTTACAATGCCGTCCTATCCACGCATAGTACCATTGAGAACTCCGAGTGCACTTTCCTCATGGACAACGAGGCTGTCTACGATATCTGTAAGCGCAAGCTTGACATCCCCCGACCTGGTTATAATAACCTCAACCGTCTCATCGCCCGGGTTGTTAGCTCTCTTACCACCAGCCTGCGTTTCAATGGTGACCTTAACATTGACTTGAATGAGTTCCAGACTAATCTTGTGCCGTTCCCGCGCATTCACTACCCTCTAATCTCGTATGCTCCTGTCATCTCTAGTAACTGCAGTGCCTACGAGAGCTTCAAGGTTAAGGATCTCACCTTGCAGTGTATGTGTCCTCCTGTCTTTTCTTCCAAAAATGTCCCTTCAGTCTAACCGTCTGGCAGGCTTTGAACCTAGGAACCAGATGGTCGTCTGCGATCCTCAAACCGGAAAGTATATGGCAGTGGCTCTTTTGTACCAGGGTGACATGATGCCTCACGACTGCGCCCGGGCTGTTACTGATATCAAGGCCAAGGCCTCTTTTAACCTGGTCGAGTGGTGTCCAACCGGTTTTAAACTTGGCATTAACAACCAGAAGCCTATATTTGTTCCTAACAGCGAGCTTGCTTCCGTCGACCGTTCGGTTACCATGCTCTCCAATTCGACCGCCATCGCCGAGGCCTGGAGTCGCCTTGGCCACAAATTCGACCTCATGTACTCTAAACGTGCTTTCATTCATTGGTACGTGGGTGAGGGTATGGAAGAGGGCGAATTCTCGGAAGCCCGCGAGAACCTGGCAGCTCTAGAGAAGGACTACGAGGAGATCGCCGGCGATACTGTGGGCTTGGATGGCTATGTGGAACACGAGTATTGAGCAACAGTCCCTCTTCCTGGTTGAATAACACCATTATTGGTCATGCAATCAGCTGCAGAAAGCATGAAGTCGCCGGAGTCCAAGCCAAAATACGATCCTTCCTTACAATTCTTTATTATCACGCGTTAACGTAAACAACACGGTCCTAAAATACGTTTGTTATGCCTAACGCTTTCCAGACCTATTTTCGATATCCTTATTATGTACTTTAACTTCCCCCTGACCACATGTACTGGCTAACTCTCCACTCTCATTATTAGGCCCCTCTCGGTAATTCTTGAGGCTATAGTATTTTTGATGTTCCTTGGAGCCTCTCATTGATGTAGATAACTCGACTGGGGCAAGTACAGATAAAGAATCGGGATGTTCTGTTTAATATTAGTTTCCTTATATGTGCTCTACGTTGGTAAGTCTGGGTACTGAAATAATTAATCACTTTCGTCACTACCCACATTCTCCAAGTTCGTCACCTTCATCTCCTCTGTAAACAAATGTTCGAGGACTGCATCCATTCCACGCCCCAAAGCTGCCTGGAACGGTGTCTTTTCCACACCAGGATCAAGAGAACTATCCGCCCCTTTCTCCAAGAATGCCCTGGCAGCCGCCAAGTCCCGCTGTCTTTCATCTTTAGTGCCCGCCAACTCCTCCAGATCTACTTCCTTAACCAACATCTCCACAACCCCCCTATGTCCCGCATTAACCGCCTTCATCAGCGGGGAACACCCCTCCTTATCCGCAATAAACGGATCCGCCTTTTTCTCCACGGCAAGAAACCTCGCGACCTCCAAATGGCCATGGTCACACGCGGATAGAAGGGGTGTGGCGCCATGCGCGTCAGACATAATGTCAACATTGACGTCGACATCCACACCAGCACTCTCCTCCTCCTTCTTCCCCTCCTCCTCCATACTCAGCAAATATCTCACAACATCCAAATTCCCCGGCGCAGCAGCCATAAAGAGCGGCGTCTCGCCATTCGGGCCTGCAGCCGCCCACGCCTGCGCGCCGTGCCGCACAAGCAGACGCACGATTTCAAGGTGTCCACAATACGCGACGTAGTGCACTGGGTACATGCCCTGGGGGCCGGGAGCCCGGGCGAGTATGCCGTCGTCGACATCGAGGAGGGCTTGGACTTCGTCGAGGTCGCCCATGCCGACGTACTTGTGGAAGAGGTTTCGGGCGCCGGGTCTGAGGGCTGGGGGTGTGGTGGCCGCCGCTGCCAGTGGGTGGGCGGCTGATATGGATGAATGTATTGATTGCGCGACAATGGCCAGACGGAGAGATAAGGGCTTGGCGGCAGTAGGGTTTTCGGGGTCCGGGGAGAAGGAGGAGTTGGCTTTGTCGAGGGTCACGATGGAGTCTTGTAATATTGCCAGGGAGTGGGCCAGCACAGGGGGGGTTGCTTTGTGCTCCACGTCTAGCCAGCTATTATATTACGTGACTCAGATGACGAGAGTCTGGTAGGTAGGTATTCTGGTGTTTGAAGGAAACTTACACTTGGGTCAGAGACAGTATCACATCAAGCGCCTCCGAGGTCCGCTCGATGCCCTCTCGAATACCGACAATCGTCTCAGGATTTTCCTGGAGGAATTCCAACGTGACATGCTCATCGTCGTCGCTGTCATCATCATCCTCGTCATTTGCGCGCCCACACAGCAACTGGCTGAATTCCTCGATATTTTCGACAATCGATGCCAGCGCGCTGATAACCCCCGTAATCAGCTCGACTGTCTCGGCGCTGGTGTCTGCATTTTTAAGTGCCTGCTGCTCAACGGACAAGTTGGTGAAGACAAAAATCGTCAGGTCGCTGAGATGGTCGGCGGCGAGGTAGAGATTGCTTAGGGCTTCCTTGTCCTTTTCGGATTCGACATTGTCTTCTGCAATCTGGAGATTTTCTAGGATCTTTTGGTTCTTTTTGTTAGCTTTCTTTTTCTTTTGCATCTGCTGTGTCGCGCTAAGGATTGTTGGGAGAGGAAGAGAGAGACCAACTTACATTCGCATTTGACTCGAGTACGGGTGCCAGGGTCGCTATTATGGGAGACGGATCCATTTTTCGTAGCCAAATGGTCCAAGAAGATGCGAGAATTTAAGCTCCGGAGTCAGGCGTACAACTTTTGAGAATTCGCAATCTTTAAGAATAAGAAGTGTCGAAGAAAGGACCGTGACCATGACGCTGAGCTCGGGCCCCGCATCGTATTGCCCACCAGATGACCCTCGATAGCGCCCAAAATCTTGACAAATAATGAAAAATGGAGGGCTCTGATTGCACGAGTAATGTATCAATACGAGTGTCCCAGTGTTCCGTCTTTGAGGCTTATCTCGTTGGATACGAGCTACTGCTCTCGAACCGAGGCCTTCTAAGCCACTTGCGCCTCCCCTCTCTCCTTTTGGTTCGAGTTTGCAGATCCCCGCGTTAATCAGCCATAAATTTAATCTCTGCACCAACTGCAGTCTTAATTCTTTATGATTATTTACTACAAGTGGCTGCATCAAGGAGCCCATGCGGATTTTTTTTACGAAATGTGCCAGTCCGTTAAAGAAAACCATCTGCTCGCGAAGAAGAGTATCATGAGATTGTGCCCCAAAACAAACATCTTTCTCGTAGCACTCATACGTGACTCCTGGACGAAGCGCCCAAGGGGCCCCAAGCTCCAGACTCCCCTACCCCGTAGAAGCCGCATCGCCAATCCACCCGGGGATGCGATCCAGATCCCCGTTGTTCGACGTGTTGTACGATACCCGCAGCGGGAAATGTTCTGCCACCGTAGCCCCGATCCGCATCATGGCAAAGGCTTCGAGGAGGTCGGTTCATCAGTCGTAGACGCACGCATATCCGGCTGTCGCGAGGAGACCCAAGAGGTAGAGAGCCAGTAGGACCGAGAATCGCATGCATCCGTTTGCTCCGATTCTTCAGCCATGGCGCTACCACATCTGGTCGAAACAGCAAAGGAAAAGCGAAGGCCAAAATTGCCTGCAATACGCCATGTGGACAGTTGCAGCATCTCTCTCGGCACAGTTCCGCTCCCTTCGAGAATCACTCTACCAGGAGACAAGGCGCATGCTCAACGCACTGGACTCGCAGCCTCAGCGAACGGATCCGAACGGAAGCATCGAACAGGCGCAGGCCTGGGTCCTGATCTGCGTCTACGAGTACATGCAGCTCTCGCCCCTGCAAGCGTGGATGAGCGCCGGTCGCTGTTGCCGCCTTGTGCTAGGGATGAGGCTGTACGAGCTCGACGATCCTAATAACCCGGTGATGGTTGCACGAGAGTAGGAGATGAGCTTGATGACTGGACGGGACTAGAGGAGCGCAGGCGCACATTTTGGATGGCGTACTCACTGGACCGGTTCATAAGCTTCCACACCGGGCTGCCGTTTACCTTGAACGAACAATTAGTACGACACCACACAAGAAAAAAAAAGACACAACTAACGTTTCCAGATTGCTACACGACTACCGGTTCCAGAGGAGGAATTCCAGACAGGCCACCCGGCGGTCACGCAGTACTTGCCAGAGGTGATGTCAAGGGGAAACACCGATAATGTTCTCCCGACATCCTCCTTCAGCGAGTGCATTGTCCTCGCAACAATCTACGGCCGAGCTCTCGCACACCGACAACAAGTAGCGGTCGAGCAAATAAGCGTCAGTGGCGACATGGCAGTTTTCGAGGGATTCTGGAGCCGGCACCAGTGGCTGCACGACATGCTCAACTACCGCATTCAGCTGCTCTCAATGTCGCCGCAGGTCGACCCGATGCCAATGTTTGCGCGTATAGTCGCGCAGACACTGGTTTTGTTTCTGCAAAGCGTGCTCGAGTCAATCACTTGGAAAACCGGCGACCACCTCCTTGGCATCATCGAGTTTGAGAGACTCTGTGTGATGGCAGCACACGAAGTGGTGAATCTGGTCAAGTTTCAGCGTCAGCTTGGCTATTTCAAGGTACGACCAAGCCCCTCACATAACTCTTCGTGACTAACAGAGTAGGTCCACCCCTTGACTCCGATCCCGCTAATGATGTGCACCGAGTTCTTCGCCGGGCATAGCTACCTTGACGCGGGGTTTGACAGCATGCTGCAGGACGTGTTGGCTTACCCCCAAGATTTGGACCGGGTCAAGAACGCTGCTCAGAGCCCGCGCGATCCCATATATGCTTAAACCAGATGTTTCCGTATCGCATATATAATAAGCACCTTAGCTAGCTCGCTGCAAACTAGTCGCCGCAAGCTTGGATGGATACACGTGACTTGCACTGAAGGAACCTGATTCAGGTTACCTGAATCATAGAAGGTGCTCGGCATGGCAATGTCTGTCGGGTTTTTATGCGCACCATAACCGATGTTTACGTGTTTAAGGACTCATACCAGTACTGGACGGCAAGGGAGATGCTTGCACAGAAAAGGAAGAGCGTCGAGCGAGAAGGGAAGAAATATAGGGAGGCAGTGGAGGCCGCAAACAGCAAGGAGGGCTTGGAAGCAAAGAAGGCGGCGATTAAAGAACTCACAGATGCTTATGAGAAGCTAGAGTCGGATTTACACGAGCGAGGCGCCAAAACCTTTCAAGAGCTTCGACCAGATATCAAGCCTCCTCAGCCTAGTGATGTTCAACCCTCCAAGACTTCTCCTTTCGCTATCTCTCTGAGCTTCAAGGGCACTGACATTACAGGAGACAAACGAGATGACTATTTTAAGCTGTAAGCAGCGCTCTTTTTTTTTTTTTATGCTATTTCTCACATTTCACAGGTTCGAAGCCGCGTGGACCGGCGACCTTGAAACTATCAAGAACCTTATTATAACCGGATCTGATAGAACAAGGTACCGGACATCTCTGGAAATTGCTGTCTGCGATAGTCGTGGATTCTCTGCATTTTCCATTGCCATCCTCCGTGGACATCTAGACGTTGCGCATGGAATCATGGCTATCGCGGCTTCCCATTATAAGCCCCCACAAGAGCCTCAAGCCCGGTACCGGATACGCCAGTATGGCTTGGACGACGACTCTGACGCAACTTAGTTTGACGAGTCCAACGGTCTGCAACTGGATAAGGAAATTAGGAATACTCAGTTCATTATTGATAATGTGGGCCAGATAAAGTCCGAGGTCGAGAGCAAATTAGGCCCTCTATCCATTCTGGATGCGGAGTGCGATATGGACCCCTTCTTTGAGGAGGCCACGGACCAATATTTCAACAGCCTGTTGCGTTACGCTATCTTCATCGACGACACGAAGCTGTTGGCCTTTCTCATCTCCCTCGGACAGCAGCTCACCGAGTGGTTTCCGGAGGATCCAGCCAACCCCACGCCGTACTATGTTTATCACGACGACCTCTACTTGGCAATGCACCTCGGGAGGTTGCATTGTCTAGAGATTCTCGTCAAGCGAACTGCAGCAGGGGTGGATTTCGACGAGCTAGTCGACGAAGGTGAGATTGAGGGCAAGGAAGCGCCCGAGTACTATCGTGGTCTCTCCGTGCGTGGTAAGAAGCGTGATGACTGGGCACGTCGTGGCCAGACAGCCACAGAGCCAGACACACCGCCGCCGTTGCTTTATGCGGCGAAAATGGGGAACCTGGAGAGCGTGCAGTGGTTCCTGGGTCCTGCACCGGCTCGCTGCTACAATGCATTTGTTGCAGGCAACAAGAATGATCCGGGGGTGAGGAAACTGCTTTTGACAGAGAAAGGCCCAGAGAACATGATCCGTGATTTCCTGGAATCTAGGTGTAAGTAAACGGACCACTTTCTTGTGACGAAACTGACCTGACCGCCCTAGGCCATTTGCTCCTCCATTCGGCCGTTATAGCCGAGGAGAACGAAGAGTCCCTAGCCCTCGTGGAGTATCTTGCCAACAACATGCGCCATCTGTTGGACGCGAAGAACGTGGATGGTTATACGCCCTTGATAGTCGCATTCCGCCTTGGTCGATTTGCGTTTGCAAAAATCCTTATACAAGCCGGAGCAGATCAGACGGTCCGGGACGTCGATGGTAGAAATCTGTTACATGTGCGAATTCAACATATGAGTCGCTCGCGGCCTACCGACTGGTCTATCCGAGAGGCGCTCGAACTGCTCGATCGTCAGCTCCTCCCATCCATGCTGACCGCTCGCCGTCTTTCCAGCAATGTAATCCACACGGCCTTTGCTTGGTTGATTTTGTGCATGAGTCTTGACGCGTCGACATTGCCGGGACTAGCCGCTAGTCTAGATTATGTCAAGCCTCTAGGTTGCAAGCACCTGGAGCTCTTGGACAGCGAGGGGAACACCCCATGCCACGGACGGGGGGTCATATCATGGGCGCTTATTGATTTGCTTCTCGCGTACGAACCTGAGCTCGCGGCCAAGGAGAACGTCAACGGGCTCACGCCGGCAGACGTTGCCGAGCAGAAGTTGTTTGCCAAGGCTGCTAAGCCTCCGCATATTCCACAGCAGTCGAGCTCTCGCAACCTAGGCGCAGGCGCCGTCGGAAAGGAGCCGTGGACGTTTGTGCGCCAGACAGGGAAAGGAGTGCTGTTAGCGAACAGGCGGAGAATTTATGAGCGGTGCTGCTTAGGCAGAAGCGACGGGGACACAAGGAGGAGAAAGCTGGTGACGCTCTTTGAAGTGCGCGAGTTCGCTGCCGCGTCGCATGCGAGGTTCCAAAGGTGCAATCAGCGCCGGACGTGGTTGTCGCCAGAGACGGATAAGATTACCAATAGACCTGTAGACACTCTACAGAGCACATTCTTGATAATTATCATGTGTTGGGGGCATCTGTGCCTCGCGTGATTCATTCCTTGTTCGTTCATTTGCATCCTTCAGCGTGACCGAGGGCAGGCAGGCCAAAAGCTCCCCTGCAAAACCAGCAAGAGTTCACGATCGATTGGACGAATGGGCGATCTAGATCTCGAAACCAGCTAGCCCCGACAGAAGGCCGTTCGACCACCGCCCGGAGTCCGACCGCTCAGGGTCCGACCTCATGAAGCCTCATCCCTTTGGGCCAAAATCCCAAATGGCCGCCTTGGCATTGCTGGGATATGACCACTGGGAATCGCTGGTCTTCCTGACCCCCACCGTTTCGTTTCTGTATCAACTGACACCTGGCCTCTCCTTCCTCTTTCGTACATTCTTCGTAGCTCGACATCTCGTTGCTTCCTAGGACATCTCCGCGAGTGAAGACCGACTGTCAATCGACGCCGATCTGACCACATATGTACTAGAATTCAAACTCTTGCATGTTCTGGATCAAGATCTCAGCATGTTGATAACATATCCAATCCTCTAGGACAAGGAGAGGTAATCATGAATCCCATATGTTCGACAGACATTATCAGAACATGCATAACCCTACCAACAGTCTGGCTTAGTCATTATTTTGTAAGCTATAACTTATCTAGAATGATTGGCTGGCTACGTCGGCCACCTAAAATAGAACAAGCAACTTCGTACCTCCAGATACTACCCGCCACCTATCAGGTTGCTTATGAAGTCGAAACGACTCAGAAGTTTGTTCCTATTACCTGAGCGTACCAACGTCTTCTTTTTACTCTATGTGGACTAAATTTACAGTGCATGCTGTTGGCAGACAATATCATGCTACTCGATTTACCAAATGAGTTGCTACTAGCGGTTGCACAACATATTCAACGTGCTTCTGATATTAATTCGCTGAGTCAAGCTACCAAACAGCTGCATGCAGTATTATCGCCATTTCTGTATCGCGATAATATCCGGAGACATGGTGCCTCGGCACTTATCTGGGCTGCTTCCTATGGCTACGATCGGACCGTCGAGCTGATGATTAGCTATGGAGCTGATGTTAACACTCGCGATAAATATGGCGTGACAGCAATTATTGAGGCTATACGGCATGGGCATACTAATGTGGTCCAATTACTTCTCAAAAACCGTGCTGACCTCTATGCTGAGGGTCAGTTCTATGGACCTGCACTTCATGAAGCCGCGCGTGAAGGCTACGAAGACTTGGTGCAACTGCTGTTAGATAACAAGGCTAATGTGAACCACCACGGTGGAGAACATGGAAGTGCACTCCAGGCAGCAGTGTATGCGGGGTGGACTGATATAGTCCAGCTCTTGCTGGATAACGGCGCCAATGTTGGTGCACCAGGATACTACGATAGTGCTCTTGTGTTAGCAGCTGTTGTGGGCTACGAGGATATTGTGCGAGTACTACTCGCAAATGGGGTTGATATCAACGCTCAAGATGAAACATATGGGACTGCACTTCAGGCAGCCGCATGTGAAGGGCAAGGCAAGATTGTGCAGGTCTTACTGGATAGGAATGCGGATATTAACGCGTGTGGTGGTTATTATGGCACAGCTCTACAGGCAGCATGCGCTGAAGGGCATATGGACATCGCAAAAATACTGCTAGAAAAGGGTGCGAATGTGTTTCTTGAAGGTGGGGAATATGGCACAGTCCTTGCAGCTGCAATAAACAATGGAAATGAGGAGATAGTGCAGCTGGTTCGGGGCCACATGTCTTGAAGTTACCAACGTCATAAAAGCTGCAGATGATTCACTTAGTCTAGAGGACTAATTATTGAACGCAGATTTCTTTTATGACCTGGGTAACGTAGTTCAGACATATCATATATAATGTACTTGTTATGTGCTATCTCACATGCCGGCCTAATCCCGGACTATCTACTAAGTTATGGATCGGAGTTTCAATGGAGGAAACATTAATGCCAAGAAGTTGCGATAACTAGTCCTCACTACTAGTAATTGGGCCATTTTGAGCCGCTGGCTGTCCAATCCGCTGATTGCGATATTGCGATAGAACTGTGATCCGAGGAGATCTTCTTCTGGAGGACTATCGAAGAACGACTTGCGCATCAAGTTCCGATACAATACCTTCATGATCATCCTTCTCCTCCGCTCCGTTTTCATTATAATTGACACGATCGTTTTCGATCTTGCCGACACTCAATCCGCCCTCGGGTTATACCTTGTGCTACTTATTCAAAAATGCTTCGATGCGCTCCTCTTAGTTTATATCGTCCTGCTGACGAAGTCCGTGCGGACTTTGGGAGACCCAAGAGCTGCATAGAGTATTCCAGCTCTTGCTCCTGCATCAACAGCTCAGACACAAGCCATGATGCCAGCCAATAATCCTCCCTTCATGGCTCCCGCATATGCGTATCCGCTTCCGCAGTCGCCTCATTAGCCAACCATCGCCGCTAGTAGTAATATTCCCAGCACAGGACAAGCTATACTCACCGCGTTTGTTCCTGGGACATACCCCGGATAGGGCCAAGGTCACCACCCCTTTCCGACCTCCCTCTCTAGGAACTGAAAGTTTGCTTCTTGCTGAGATGCTAACACTATCCTAGAATATGCGTGTTCTATTCCCTCACCCGGACAACATCCGGAACAGATGGAAATCCAGATGCAAACGCAGGGCCAGGCTCAGGCTCAGGCTCAGGGGCAGTGGGTTTTTGTCCCGCATGAGCAGGGTACGTCGGGCCAGAAGTGATGTTGTGCTTAGGCCTTGTCTTTCCTGCTTCGAAGTATTAACCAGGGATGGTGTGGCGAGGGGAATATGGAGTGACTAGCTGTCTGTATGTTATTTTCGTAACCTTGGTTCAGTGCTTGTACGGCAGGGCAAGTATGCAGAGGCAGAAGCCATGCACCAACAAGCACCAAGTTCGGAATAAGGTGCTTGGTCCTGAGCATCCTGATACTCTTGCCAGTGTCAGCGAGTTCGGTTGGGTGCTTGTACGGCTGGGCAAGTATGCAGAGGCAGAAGCCATGCACCAACAGGCTCTCCAACCCCGGGATATCAGTCCGGTACTGCGGGTTCGCGGGGTGCGCCAGGTAGAAGAGATGTCGTTGTGTAAGCTCAGGCTAATAGGTTTCCAACGCCCCTGCCTTTCCGTGTACACGGCCGTCGGAGTCTATGCGCTCGAAGATAATTAATGTGTTCTTCGGGGAGTCTTCGAAGCGTCGTTACCGAGCGGCTTACTCGGTAGAGAGGTGTCGGTGTTGATGCATCGCGGATGCACTGCCCGTCGAGGAGTAATGTGACTGGCTGTAGACTGGTAGTGAATTGCTCCCTTCTGCGACTACCTCCTCCTATGGTGGTGGTAAATCGAGGTATTTTGTATCGGAGTCCATTTGTGATATGAACGGGCGTGTTGATCCCTGTGTTTACGCCGCATATGAACGAGAAGGTTCTCTGCGAGAGAACAAATGTCGAGAAGAAAAGATGTTTTCGACCCCTCAATAATGCATTGCCCGACCGACTTGGCTGACCCTGTCCAGCTCCACACATTGTGGCTGTGAGCCCATAATGGTCAAATTCATTGGACCCCACGCAGATCTCCCATTGGTGTTAGTTATGGACAATGGCTGACTAAAATAGTGGTAGTAAAATAACTACGTGGATCTCCTGGAGAGTTCTCGGCGCATAGAAAACAGAATAAGAGTACCTAATTAGTCAGATCTATAGGCCGTCATATCCACACACTGCCAGATGGGGCTCACGGTCACGAAAGTTCGACACGATACATAAATCCACTGCAGTGTGGCGGTGCAGCCAAGCCTCGTATTCTCGCTCATTTGACGCCCTGCGACCAGCAACATCATGATGTTTTTCTTTTCCTCAGATAGCGAAAGCGCCTCGAGATCGAAGAGCATTCACTACCAGACAGGATGGGTGCCACACCCCGAATTGGAGGCGAGACCACGGATATGGACGTCGATAGCGCCAACGACCTGGATGAAGTCTGGACTCAGGTTAACGTGAGGGCTTCTGCCAGCGGTGCGTCCGATAGCGGCGACGACGCGTCTAGTCTTGTGGTTATATCTCGCAGTTCGTTGCCGGATCCCAATACCATGCGACCGTTAATAAGTAACATTGTCCCCAGGTGGCAGTCCGTCCATCGAGTTCCTCGACGTCCAACCAGCGGCGGTACCACATAGAATTGTGTGGCCCCCATCGCTACCATGGTTTCAGCTAAGGGACATCTTGGAGGGTATGAAACCGCCACAAGTTCAGCAATGTGCGTGAAGGGTGTGATACTAAAGCACCGACAGACACCGTGCGCACAAAACTTGCAAACGCTCATTTGAGCCGGGTAATCAATGCCCTGACACCGACACCACTGCCTCCCACGAAGGCGGGTAGTACGCTAACAGTCGGATCGACGAGTGTCAGCCTAATGGCTCGCTCAGGGGCCGTCGAAGCAGCAACGAAAGCGATTAGTAAGACAATGCCAGAACTCTTCCCAGGCGAACACCAAGCCCGAATGGAACTAGTAGCCAGCGGCGGCAACGGTCTGGAAGCGAAACTCGAGGCCTTCCAGGTCCTCTGCTACCAGCTCTCTAACAAACTCATTGAGGATCCCAGCTACTACGACGACGAGGACTATGATGAAAACTCCGACAAGTACGCGCAGACTGTCAGGATGTTCCGCGACCTCGATCTGCCACCAGACCTGTGGACCGAAATTTTTATTGAGCAGAAAACGCGCACGGGTGCTGCGGCCGCGGAGGCCCTTTTTGAAGCCGCGATTAATGAAGGCGATCTCGAGATTATTATGACGCTCCTAAAGTCTGGTGTCGTTGATCCGGACGTGCCTGTCTGGACGTGTGACGGAATGCAATATCCGATTCAATGGGCGGCGTCGAGGATAGAGCGTCGAGGACACTCTAACGTGATCAAACTGCTTGTTGAACTCGGTGCAGACGTGAACAAGTGGACGCAAGAGTACGGCAACTCCGCTTTGCTCGATGCTGCGCGGAGCGGGTCGTTTGAAATAGTCCGGCTTTTGGTCGAACACGGGGCGGATTTCAGGGACCTACTTGACAACAAAACGGACTATATCGGTATGGACACCCCCTTGATAGCTGTGATTTACAACAAGGTGCCTCCCGTGAATGATAGTGGATGCTCTGGACCACGTGGGGGCAATAATACAGAGGGCCAGGAGCTGGAGTCTGTTGGGATCTTTAGGTACTTGCTGTCGTTGCACGGCGATACCAAGAAGGACCGGGATATCATCCAAGAGGCTCTAATTGCTGCAGCTGCGTTAGGGAGAACTGACCTGATTCCCCTGGCACTCGACGCCGGCGCAGAGCTTCAGACACCTGGACGTAACGGGTTCACGGCCCTTCAGGCTGCGAGTGGCTCCTACGGTGATAAGTCAGCTGTGATCAGGCAGCTCTTAACACTAGGTGCCAGACCAAAGAAGACGGGTATATTGTCGGAGTTGCACCTTGCAGCTTTCAAATCATCTCCAAACACAATCCGTGCACTAATCGAGCACGGGATGGACGTGAACATGTGGATTCCAGGGCTGAAAGAGCGCCAACTCAACTTCCTCGGCCGTTATTTGCTGTCCGAGCAAAAAAAGGAATTTTTCAAGATCGCCCATCTGCTACACACTCCATTGGATTTTGCACTTGCAGCAGCGACCTGTGTCCTGGAAAAGGATCGCGAATTGAACGCAGTGGTTCTCTTACGCGCTGGAGCGAGATTAACCGGCGGCGAGCTGGTCCGGGCGATTAAGTTCAACAATGATGAGCTACTAAATTGTATTCTGGAGCAGGAGACTGATATTAACCAGGCTTGGTGCGGACTCACTGCATTGCAGGCCTGCCTGGACAGCGGTGCTCTGGAGATGGCAGAGAAGCTGGTCCGTCGGGGCGCACGGCTGAACGGTGGAGAGGTTAGCGCTGCCTTTGAAAAAGGGACACCAAAGTTTATCTCGACATTGCTCTCATACGGAGGTGGCCTTAACGGCAAGGATGAATTGGCTCCGAGTCCACTCGAACGCGCGTGTTCGAAACAGAACTGGCCTGTTATTGAGTGGGCCTTGCAGAAAGGGCTCGTGGACTATTCACCAGGAGCACTCTGTGCTGCTGTTTGTTTAAGTCGACACAAGAGTGAGAGACGACTCGAGCAGATAAAGCTTCTGCTTCATCACCGGAAGCGAGTCCTACACCACTACAATCCCATCTGGTCACTTCTTGAGGGCACCGCTGCGGGTTATGCAGCATTGTGTGGTGAGGAGGATATACTCGACGTACTACTTCTGTTAGGAGATCTGGAAAAATGCATTATCCCAATGTATCCAACGAGTCTTGTCGTACTGCTCTCATGGGAATACGACTGGGTAACCGAACAATACTCGAAGCTTGACTGGACAAAGCCAGGTCAACCAACTGTCTCGATTCTCGTACCTGCCATTCTCAGCAGATGCTGGGACAATGTCGAGCGTCTGCTCAACAAAGGGTGCAAAGCAGACGGGTTCTCTCTTCTCGCGACGATCCGCTTTTTCGACAACGACCAGGTCATCCAGCTTTTGTCCTCCGGCGCTCGAGCCGACACGCGCCTGAAAGACTTTGACTCTCCATTGCAGCTCGCCGCGCGCCTTGGCCGCCTCGACGTCGTCCGAACGCTCCTCCACCACGGAGCAAACGTGAATGACCCCCCCGCGCAAACAAAAACACACTGGTCTCTCCCCCGAGCTGCACTGCAAGCTGCCACCGAGACCGGTAACCAGGAACTGATCGACCTCCTTCTTGAAGCTGGGGCTGACGTGAACGGCCCTCCAGCACCGGATGGCGGCGCGACGGCTCTTCAGCTTGCCGCGATAAAGGGCTATCTACCCATCGCACAACGTCTTCTGGACGCCGGTGCGCAAATCGATGCCACGCGGGCCCGGGTGGCCGGCCGGACGGCCCTCGAAGGTGCTGCGGAGCATGGGCGACTGGACATGGTACAATTTCTGCTCGAGAATGGAGCATTGACGTTTGATGACGGCGCATGCCAGTATCACCGGGCAATGGGGTTCGCGCGGAAGAACGGACATCGTGCTGTTCTGCAACTGCTGGAGCACTGGGATGAAGGGGACATGGATTCTTTCTGGTGCAATTGGGACGGCCTGCTGGATGACGATTTCCAAGAAGAGGATGCAGATGGGTACGACTCCGAGTAACAACTAGCTGTTTATTGTTCGAGTTGAAACCCGTACAGCGCCAAATGCGCCGTGAATTTCCAAGCGAGAATTGGCTGCAATGCAGATTGGTTATATTAGGTTATTGGAAATGCGCAATGGAAGATGATGGATCCCAACAAAGCCATGCTATCTTCGTCTCGTGGAGCTTCGCAGGCCCTTGGCAACCAAGCCGGTCCGGGAGTGTCAAACTTTAGTGACACGCGCTACAAGGACGAACTTATTGTTAGTCAGCGCCCGCACGGTTAATTATTTGTACACAGGTCACATGAGCAAGCAGTGAGCTCGTTCAACCTTGAACAAACACCCCCAACACGTGAGCGCCAAGGCAATGAAGTTGTCACTCAAAAGAAAAAGGTTGCGATCATTGACTGACACAGCTACCTGTGTATGTGAATGCGCTTACTCTGAGTCCAAACCTCTGTTGACCAAAACCGGTCGTTTCTAAAGTCTGGATGGTCCAGAAATGCCTCACTGGGTATGTGGTGAGGCGTTCTAACGCCCAATTAAGTTTGATTTAAGTTGCGCCACTAGTGCGAGTTCCTTAGGGCTATAGAGCGAGAGATTGTTGGTAAGTACTTCTTGGTCCGTTTAACTATTTCTGTTGGTGAATAGCCTTGCTGAGACCGTCTCAAGACTCAACGAACCTCTCCGGTTGAAAAATTCAAGAGACTATGAGGGTAGATACTCGGAACAACAAGGAGTCAACGACTATCGAGCGCTCCTCATAACGCTGCCGTAAAAGTATCTCCATATGAAAGGCTTGCGGCAGCTGGCAACCAAGTGAACAAAGACGTGGAATACTCATAAACAGGCCAAGCATGGATTTTCCAATGAGATTCCTGTTGCCAGAATATCTTATCGTAATGGAGATTATGGTCTGAAAGGTATGAGCCAGCTCCCAAGAAGTTTTGGGTTCTAGCCGGTAGCTGCTCAACAGGTATAGAAGTCAGGGGTTGATTTGAACGGGCCAAGACTTAAGAGGCACTGAAGAAATCGAGGAGGCGCAAGTCCTGGGGCAAGCAACATGCTCTGAGTGTGGAGCATGACCGTCTGGAGATGGCTTGAAGCGCTGAAGATATCAGTTAAGCGCTTTGATGATATCTTACAAAGCACTTGAGTCAAACTTATGCAGCAAGTCTAGTGATCGCTCGAAGACGGGACGTGAATATTACTCTTGATCTATAAAAAGAATCCCGCTTGCTCCTTCGTTCTCTTTCTGTGGACAAAGACCTATATGCGCAGCGAGGAAGCTTGCGAAGTTGATCCACACCATGACTTGGCCGCTAAATTTTAGACTACGGCTAAGTAGAAGCCTCTAAATCATTCACGGTAAAGGAACCCGTGACCAACCTCAAGTCAGCTCTGCGCCACATCGAAACTCAAGATCAGAAGCGACGCAGGGTGGCAGAACCCCTAATCGCAACAGCGCTGATGCGATGGCTGTGCTGAAGCAAATTTGATCTGCTGATGCGTTCGACGAAAGAACAAGCGAAGAAAGGAGCGTTGGAGCAGTGGAGAAAACCAACCGCGCTTTCAAGATAATAACAAACATCCTTCGCCGTGGGTCGGACAATGATCTTGATAAACTGAAAGTCATATTAAGGCTATCTGCGTCGCCTGAGGCAGCTAAGGGGTTCTTGCTTACATATGACCTTCTGGATGAAGCTCAGTTTGACTGCCTAACGCATATCTTGTGGCTTCCTCTTCTTGTTCCCGAGCATAATCTTTCGGTGGTCTGGTGACGCGTTTGTGTCGTACCCGTGGTGGTGATTCTTCGCGTTTGCCCCGGTCAGGTGTCACGGGCCTAGCCCTGCTCATGTCCCGCTTAGATCATCGCCACGTGACAATCCTCTGTATATAGTCGGTCCCGCTTCGCGGAACCTCTTTAGTTCTCCATGCTTCGTATTTAGTTTAATACGACCTTGTTCATCGAGAGACGTTCCTTACACAATACGAAGCATCAAACCAAGCTCTCTGTTCATCTGTCCGCATCGTACCTCGTCTCTGCGTCTTAGTTTCATCGTTCCACGACCCTTGTATGGTCATCGTTGATGATCCCTGTCACCTCGCCCCGAGCGTCACCCCACCGCGTCGGAATTCGTCCCCGAACCAACGATATCTATCAAACCTACGCTAAGCTTTCCACCATGTTCCCCACGAGCGAGTCCTCCAAAAAACGTTCCCACACGAGCTCTGTCGCTGGCGACGGCCCGGCCTCCCGTACGCGGAGCCGGAGCCGCTCGATCAGCTCCCATGTATCCAGCGCCTCTGGGCCTGGTGCATTCCCAGCGTCATCTCCCCCCGAACGACCATCTAAAGTCTCCGGCGCCATCGTAACGCCTCCCCAGGATCCCTTTAAGGTCCCCTCTGTGGGTGATCCTAAGGGCAAGGCCCCTGAGCTCCCAACGCCAACGCCAACCATGCCTACCATCGTCCGCCGAAAGTCCGCGATAGCCCTGCCTACGCAACCACCAGTTACCTTCCCTACGATCGAGCCTACCGCCGCGTACGATGCTTACCCGCCAGCTTACAACCCTCCGGCATAGCTACAAGGGCGAACGTACCCGTGCAGAGAAATACAAGGCTACAGCGGAGGAGGCGCTTGACAAGGTCCTCTCGCTTCAAGAGGAACTTGACTACCAGCACACCATGCTTAGGGATCTCTCTGGCCGCCTTGACGCCCAAGGAGCCCGAGAACCCCGCGATCCATCCCCGGAACAACCAGTCATCCCGGGGATGGCAGCCAACACCTCCAGCGCCCCTCAGCATCAGGCTCCAGCTAATGCCCAACCATCCCCGGAACCACGAACCTCCGGATCTCCACAACCCCCGAGGCAGGCCCTGTACGGCACGCCTCTCGGGGCTCACCAAGCCTATAGTGCCTCGCCGGCAAGCCTTGTTGCAGGCTTTCCTCCTAGCTTCGAGCCTCCACCAGTTCCTCCTCGTCCTCAACCTTTCCATCAGACCACCACGCCGCCCTTGCACGCCACATCTCCCGTCCAACGAGCCCCTGAGGTACCCCTTTGATCGCTATCCTCCAGGGGCCTACGCCCCGAACCAACCACCAAAACATCCCTTTGGAGGCTACGCCGCCCCGCAGCCTCCAACATACAACGCCTACGCTAACTGGCGACCCCGAGACGCGCACCCGAACAAGCCACTAAAGGGGGAAAGCCACAGCGAATACGGCCCGTGGAGGTATGCTGTTGACTGCAAGTTCGAGATTGATCACCCTCTATATCCCAACGATCGTTCGTGCATCCGGTACACCCCTCTCACAGATGGAGAAACCTATCTTTAGCGTTATGCAAACGCTCGTCCAGCGTGCCCCAGAGAAGACTCTGGCGGACTTCCGCACCTCCGCGCTGACGCCGCGAACCGTGAACTCCAGACCGTGGCTCAACGCCAGAACAAATCCGTCACCCAGTACTTCCACCGGCTGTTTATCCTCTGGGACCAAGCCAACACGCTTAAGCATGACCGCGTGAAGAAGCTCAAGTCAACCCTGATCCGTAGTGTGGGGACCGCCTTGTATATCAAGGACCACCTTACCGTGCGCTCAGTCCTGGACGATGGCCGGAAGGCGGAGGAAGGCCGCCTGGAGACCTTCCACTACCACCCCCGTGGTGGCCCCCGGAAGCCTCGACCACGAAGCCCACCACTACTAGCATGACCCCTAAACCTAGTGGTAGCGCCGCCCCCAAGAACACCACGACAACCCCCGGAGCAACCACTAGGGCAACCACCACCCTAGGGGCAAGCAACCCCAGCACGCGCTTTGGCCCAGTGGCCGTTAAGCCTGAAGGCTGGGTAGGCGCTTGGTACGAGTCTCAAGCCAGCCCAAAGCGGCTCACCGATGAAGATCGCACCTCGCTACAACAACAAGGTCGCTGCTGGGCGTGCCGTGGCTCTGGGCATCGCTCTGCGCATGAGGTCTGCCCTAAGCTGTCCCAAGCAACTCAACGAGATCACTGCCGAAACCATCGCGGAGAGCCTCAAGCAGGCGGAAAACATGTAGTCCCTGGTCATCGTCACGATCAGGGACTGGAGGAACCAGAGATGGTAGTTGAAAACAAAAGTTCTCGTTCTTATCGCTTGTCTTCGTTGCCGTTGATCCCACTGCGGAAACCCATCTGCAGAAGGGACGACACCTAATCCTAAATTGTCATGTAGCCAACAAGAAGACTCCCACATTAGTTGATAATAGCGCAGAACTCGGATCAACAAAGACTGGGTTGAGCAGCAATTCGTCGGCGTTGTGCACCCCAAATATTGCGACTGTAGCTGTAGTGGATAATTTAGCGACAGTAGTGAAAAATAAGAGCAGCATGCGATTAGTATGATGCCAGCCTTTCTTAGTTTGTTGAGCCCGTATATTAGAGCATTATTACCGCGTATACTACGCACTGGCAGTTTGGCTAGATGGGAATAATGTACATCAAACGTCTCAGCCGCAGTACAATGAACTCATTGATTCACTATTACCCTCCCAGGATAGAAAATACCGCCTGAGCCATCTGCGAAACTGACTCAACATATGAAGGCAAACGTGCCGGATCCAGAACATCAAAGTCCCCATGGCCAGCCACTCCACGCAACGTCGAAGAGTAGTAGTCGCCTGTCCCAGGCAGAACAACCAACTCCACCTTCTCTGCCATGCTCATGGACACGTCCGCACAGCGGACTTCAACTGCTACGCGCATGGCGTATGTACGGAAGATATTGTACGTTTTGAATGTGGGTGCGGTACCCTGAACGGCGGGGCTAATGATTAACGCGCGTGCATAATTGCCTTCTCCGGCCACTGCCGTCGGGGAGGAGGAGGAGGATGACGAGGGCACGAGTGCCACATCCATCCCCGTCTTCGACTTGTCGAGAATAACATCCGCGCGGCTCTTTACATCGTCCATATCCCGTGACTCTCCCGCGGCCCAGACTTTCGTCTTGCCGGTGACGGCAATGCTAAACGCCGACAGCGTAAAGGGCGGGGCCTTGCTCACGGTCGAGGAAGAGGAGGAGTCCAAGAGCGGGACCACATTCACCAGGCATAGGATCTCCTCTCCTAGGTGGATCTGGGCAGGGAGCACGAGCTCGAGGCGGCACTGGAGAGAGGGGAGGTGCAGAAGGCGCGGGAGGAGGGAGCGGGCGCGCTCGCGCAGTCCTGTTTGGTCTGGAGGAGGTTTCACGCGCTTCTCCTTTGCCTTCGGAACGAAGAGACTGCTCTTGATGGTGCGGTGCGCGTACAGTTTGAGTACCTCGCCCTTATTCTTCTTCGTCGTCTTCAAATCTTGAAGGGGCACCGGGCCCGGGTCATCTCTCGGTCTGTAGACAATAGCCACGCTCTGCTCGCCAAGCACGACATGAGCTGACCCAGACCGCGAAGACTTGCCCCAGGCCGACGCGCGAACGTGATACTCAACCGCAGCCATGAACAGCGGCGGGACCCCTTGATCGAGAAATGTCGGCGGCAATGCGTGGTACGATCGGATCGTCGTCATCTGGTTAGTCCACCCGCGCATGTCCACGACGCTGGGGTCAACTGGCGACGCGCGCGAGGGAAAGGTGAACGAGAATGGCCAGGCGGTAGGTTGACTTGCAGGTTGGGATCCGTGGAGACACTGGAATTGCGCTACGCGCGTCCAGCAAAGGTCCGCCTGTCCATATCTGTCGCCCGAGTCAGGGGTCGTGGTTTTAGTGTGGCCGGTGAACTCGACTACGATGTCGACTGGCTGTGAAGCAACGCCGTGGAAGCTCACTTGGCCGGCGACGAGGTCGCCTTGGCTGTAGGTTGCGTTTGGATCTTGAAGAGTTATGGTAAGCATTGTGAAGCCGGTAAAGAAAAAAAAAAAAGTGGCCAAATTCTTGGTGGGAATAATACACATTTATGAGTGAGCTGTGTTGAACACAGCCTCAATGGTCTGCGCCTGGCCCTTTGCCCCGCACCAACAAATGCTGCCAGAACAAGGTATATGAAGTACTTAGCCACAACACACCTATAGAGCTTGTTTATATTTGTCTGCCAAGCCTCTGGAATAATACTGTAGTGGTCATAAGTACCATACATATCAGTGTAAAATATCCTCTTCTCGCACAGTTCCATGGATGTCCTGTACCAAGATATGATCTATAAGACTGCTTGGATTTGCACTGGGATGCATTGTTGGGAAATGATCCATCACCAGGCAGTAGTAATTATCTCGGATTGTTTTGCTATCATGTTGATAGTATCCTGGGCATACGTCACTGGTCATTTCGTCCAGGGTTCCCGCGCTGGTCTGAAAGGTCGCTGGGGCTATCGTATAGCCGGAGAGAGGCGGCACTGAGGCAGCAAGTTGGACAGAACGATTGAACAGTAAATGGCCGATGGACTTGACATGCTGTTTCTCATATAGGGGATAGAACAATGGTTGAAGAAGTGTTTATGTGGATTTTGGGTATAGTCGAACCTCTTGGTCAGGCCCTTGTGCCCAAGATTCAGGTGCACACCTCCCGCATTTGATGAAGCGCATTACACGGTAAATGTATCGAGAGAGAACAGTAACAAATTGTTAAGTAAAAAAGGTAGAGTGTCAAAAGCTGGAGATTTGTCCTCAATTTCTGAGCAGGAAAGGCGATAAAGGGTGAGCAGGGAAGGGATGGAGACTTATATACAATATAATAATAGGCCTTTATAACTAGGTTAAACGCACCATGCAGTCCTTTGAGAATGACTGTAGACCCTAAGAATTGAAAGTCACCCCCACTGCATGCTTTTAGGACTTTGCAAGGGTGGCTCCGCAAACCTGCACAGTTGGGATCCGCCAGGCCTGAATTCCGACCCTCAGGATGTGAACAGCGATAATGAGCCGATACTATAGATTTCTTGAACATACTCCATCTCCTAGTCTTATGAGTAGTAAACCAGTTGGCGTTGGTTGACTCTTGCCTCACTCCCTCCCCAGAAGCCCTCCGCATCTATGTTCTCTAAGACTTAGGTTGGTCGAAAATTGGGGGTTAGAAATAGACGATGTTGTTTTGAAGCTCAAGACTTAGGTAAAGAAGGCTGGACTCGTCAAAGATAGGCGTGACCTGCAGATGTTCGATTCCGCCCCATGGTGAAACCGTCCGCTGACTGTGTGGAAACAGCGTTGCTAAGTGCCCCAAGTAGTAAGGGAAGACGAGAGGCTGAGATCTCATACAGATCCAAAAATGGAGATCCAAGCACCTTCTCCCTGTCGAATTTAAATAAATTAAGATAGCTTTTAGATACCTCGACGACTCGGAGAGATGAATTAAGGATAACTGTGGGGATGGGCGTGTTCGTAATAAGTTTATCGAGCGGTTTCGTAGCATTTTTTTTTTTGGTCTCATTGCCGATTTGTGGAGCCGTCATCAAGGACCCATCTTGCCGTACAAACGCTGGTGGGGGGCTCTTCTTCATATTATCCTGGTTTCGCCCAATCAGTTTCTCGTGGAGGGTTACTTGTTCAATGAAGGTGATGAGGCAGGTAATTGCGAGCTGAGGAGGCAGTGAGATACTAGATGGACTTTGCGACACTAAGTGGTGTCGAAGAGAAACATAGGGCACTGAATGCTTTGATTCAAGAGTCTTGGTTCACGAGAAGTTCGATATGGTCAGCGAACGAACTAGAATCGTAACTTCACGATATTTTAGGCTGGATAGGTCTTAGAGATAAAGACAAGCGTTTGGATGCCTCCAAGTTGTTGCAGACAGAATGGGAACGGTGGACAAAGGGCGACTCACGCGAATGGCTACTCGAAAGTCATAAGATGGCAGCCATCACACAGAAATATGGTGAAATTGAGTCCGTTGCCGGGCTTGGCGCCCATTCACTTGTACTGCTGTCACACAAAGTGCAGGATTGCAATCCCCGGCTCAATCATTACTATGTTCTGAAGGTTTTTCGCCGCGGACCGGAACAAACTAAGGATGACTATTGCAGGCGAGTAACCTCAGAGTACTCTATCGCCTCCTCCCTGCACCACCGGAATATTGTTGAGACCTTCGAGCTCCTTCCCTTAGACTACGGCGGTCTCTGTGGATCATTGGATTGTGGACGTGATTTCACGGAAGACGAATATGTGAGAGTAAAACCGGGACTGAAGAGGAATGAATTGTTAAATAGACGTCCTGATCTCGGTGCCGTTGTGCCAGGAACATTCTACTCCGTAGCGAGTTGGGTCGTAAACCTTACGGCGACTCGTGAACTGGCGTCAGGTGACGTAGTATCACGTGTAGCTCTAGGTTTGGCATGAGTCAGTCGGAAATCGCGGAGTATGCACCCTGTTTATGTATCAGCATAAAGATTCAGAGTACTTGCGACTCCATTCAGGGCGCAAATAGACTGGCCGCGCAGTCACCATTACTTGTCTCTGGATCTTCAAGCTCTGTATCGAAAACAAATCTCAGAAATCTCAGCGGGAAACACTTGGGTTCATGGTTTTCCCACATTCCTCAATTTTTACTTCCAGCCAAGATCCAGGTTTCGGCCCAGAGATGGCAGGCTCAATTCCTCAAAAGGATTTCCCTTCCAATTCAACCCATCGCTTGCTCTTCTATAAAATCTATCGCCTTGATTTACAGGAATTTCCCACAGAGGCAGTACTATAGATGAGGAAACTGCAGGCGGGATGATGTCTGCTCTGGTCGTGTCGATTTCCCAGGATATTGCCGCTCCCTCTGGAGGCGGTGAAGGAGTGTCTTGCCCTTGAACCGCCTCCTGATCGTCAATGCGACCGGTTGGAAGCACATCAATAAGGAATCCTTGACTGACTGCTGGGTCACGATAATTGCTATTAATCACACAAGCTCCAAGGAACCTACGCAGTTTGCCCATCGCTCCTGACAATCCTGCTCCCACCTGAAATCTACACGACCATTGAAGTTGAACAAGTCTTGGGAGCTCAATCCAGAGCTTCACTTCATGCAAGCGCCTCGCCTCTGCACCAGATTGCTGGCCCGACACTCAGATCTAAGGCTTAGCAAGAAATTTATTTTGGAATGAATAAACAAATTATGCAAGGAAATATCTAACGCGTTCAGTTAGCCGCAAACGAAGACTCAAAGATCTTACCTACCGGCCTCCGAAACCATTCAAACACGCCTGCATGAGGATTGCAGCTCGGCATGGTGACTTGGGTATTTCTCATGAATCAGCACAGCCTTGCGATAATAGCTGTTCCGAAACCCCTCCACGGACCCCTGACGGAACCTTTCGCGAACCTGCAACATACCGCGAGACTACCTCGAGAGAGAGCACCTTTCGTCTGCCTCGGACGCAGCAACAAATGCATCTAGAACTCCTCGGGAAGATCCGAGGCAATAGCCACGCCAATGAGAGCGCCGACGATGGATTGCGTGGTGGACATGGGGAAACCAAGCCAGGTGCAAACGGTTAGCCAGGTCGAGGGTCCTATCGAGAGAAAAAAAGTCATTTGAACCTGTTTGACCCGAACACCACGGAAGGAGGGGAGGGAAGCGACGCACCCACTTCGGCCACAACCATAGCCATGATCAGCGTCCCGTGGCAACAAAACACCCGGCTCCCTGTTCTGTTCAGACCAGTGTCGTCTTGCCGCTTCGCTGACTCGAAATGTGACACTAAGAGTGCAATCAAAGAAAATCAGTCCACCTTCTTTGATTATTCTCTCCGGCCCTGTTGGGAATGGCCGAGAGTCTCTCACCGCGGAAGAGCCTACTGCCCGCTCTGAGAGCCAAGGGTTGAGCTTGCGCAATATGAAGATTCCTTTGCTAGGAGTTCGGAAAAGAGAAACACGTTCTTAAGTTCCACCCTTGCTCCTAGTGCTCGAAGCAGTCGGAGCTTCAGGTGCTTGTGAGTCTGTCTGTACAGCATGCCCCAGTGAATGCTAGCAGAAAAGATTTTTGAATTCGCTTCTTGTCTTCAAGCTCCGGCTGATGCTATTTTCTGCAGATCTTGTCTCGATTTTGTAAAGGCAACCCTTGACCGCCCGTTGCTTGCACGAGAACTTCATGGGCCAGTTTCATTGCTGCTTACTGCATTGCTGGCTGTTTTGCCTTACCGTAGTCCTCCGCATGTGTTTCGACAAGATCTTCCGTCGTTCGGGTAACAGGATGTTCGAGCCATGACGATGTCCTCAAATGATCATGCTGTCACTGTTACTTCCTGAAAAATCACCTAACTTGATTGCTATAGATGATTGCACTAACATGGTTTGAAGTACCTTAATAGGGCGCTCTCAGACAAATCGTACAGTACCAGCCACGATTGAACCTCTAGCCTTCGACCTGACATGGGGTCGTCCAGATCAATTTCGGAGACCACGACATTCTATGCCCGAGAGTCTCAGCCGCTTCTCCTGCGCTCGTCCTCAGTCTCCAACAGCGATGTACTGGAGCCAGCACCCCCGTATCCATACTCCACGGCTCCCATAAACGCAGGTCCTGGATACGTTTCACCTCCGGAACCGCGCGGCTCGCCGATGTGAAAGACAAACCTCGGCAGTCTCTCCCTTTCATCCACGAAGCGTTAGGCAATGATAACCCCTTGCCATACCCTGGGCCTCCACCATCAGCCCCTCCTCCACAATCTCATAGCGCACCTCTTCCGCATCACGTATGCTGGGTTGGCTGCATGCTAATTATTGAACTATTTAAAAAGAGGACAAGTCATTTGATTATTTATTGTTCCGATCAAGGGTTACTATATTGTGGCCAGGAGGAACACCACCTCACCTTATTCAATACAGTCCGATGTGATGACGAAACTTCCAAGAAGACGATCAAAATTGAGCCTAGCGGATGGACGACCGGCGGTGAGGCGCTCTGCCGATCCGTCCTAGCGAGGATACTGGAGCATCTGGAAGGAAGCCTTGTCGTTGGGATTAGCATCGCTTCATCGCGCAGACTTGACAAGTTATTATCTGATTGAAAGTGGAATCCGTCTCGCCACTCCTCCTTGCGGCACTTAGGAATAAGTGATCCCGTTATAGGTTACCGCGCATGACCCTAGTGGGCTGAGAGCCCGCATCCAAAGTCCATCCCTTTGAGGCGCTTAGGGAAAGACTGAGGCCCAAGCGGGACAACTGGTTGTAATGTCCCGTAATCTGTCTTGGCCAGTGATACTGAAAGGCCTTTTGGTCTTAAAATTTTCGGCCCACATCGCGCAAGGTCCAACGTCATCAATCTCTAACAGCTTCCGATCCACACATACCACGGGCTCAGTGGCCAAAGAGCCTCCGAAACAAGCCTGATGGAGAAAAGTCTTTTACGTATGATGTCCCATATGGTTTACCGCAATGACCCGCTTGAAACAAATGTCGATCGCACACAGTTCATGTGACAGGAGGTCCAGACTTTCTCCTAATCCTCCGCCACGCTTCCACGCCACTTTCCCGACTCTGGTATCGCCTGCTAATATCCCTCGCTACTCCCTGACCAGTGCGTGTCGCCTGTTGCAGGGTTAATACTAAGCCAACTGCCTTGTGGTCCTCGGTGAGCTTAGGATGCCGTTGTGCAAAGTATCGACCGTACTTGAACAACGCCCAGTAACAGCTACCGACGTTGATAAAGCTTATGATGATCTTGTACGGCATCTACCATCAAGATTTAGTCATTGCCTTGCAGATTTGAAAAAGAAAGGTGAACGCACATAGAATCCGATAACAGGCCAGAATCTTTATTAATATGATAATAGACAAAGCTTCTTTAAAGTCTTCACGAGGGGCGGTTGAATCATGTTCAGCCAGGATCGGAGGATAGAGAGGCCTAATCTCCTTAATCAAGCAGCCAATGTCGCTCGTATCTAGGAATCCACTGGCACGATTCGCACCCTGGAGTCATTTTCACTCCAATACCATCCAGACAGCAAACAGGTCACTCAGAACCTGGTTACATGGTAGTCTCCGATGAGACCGGCCTCTTCTAACACTCGTCTCTCTGATCCTCCTCTTCGGGCTTTGAACCGTCGTGACTTTTCTGCATCGATCTGACATGTGATGGCGGACCTAATGTCGATCTTCTTTAGTCGTCGGATCTTTTCAACATCTCCGAAGGAATTCGAGCCGACCGCCGTTCTGACCAGAAGATGTGTAAGCTTTTGATTTCATAAAGGCTGCCCTGTCACATCCTACTCAGACGTACCCATTCACATACCAAAGATAGGATGCGTCAACCCCTACGAGGCTCTATTCAAATAAAAAGAGGAGCCGCCGTCGTTCTGGACCTCATTTCCTTCCTGGACCTGGGATTGATTGCGATATTCGTGTCTGAGAGCTTAAACATATGACGTCAAGTTCAGCTTCTGAGGTTGAGGGAATCCAGGAGGCATAATCAGAAATTTCTGCCTCACTGCCTCACTGCCTCGGAGCCATTTGATATGGCCGGCCGTGCTATGAAAGCTCCCTTGCGACCGCTTCTCCCAGTCACTACATCTTGCTCCGCTGGTGTCCAAGAGCAGACCCAGCGACAGCGAAAGCGAAAGCGACAGCGCCAGACCACTGCCTGTACCTCTTGTCAGGCAAAGAGCATTAAGGTAGTACTTGAAATATTCGTGTCTGAGCCCAGCTAAAATCTATAACTTAGTGCTCTGGATCAAATCCGTGCGATGGCTGTGCAAAGAGACTCTACCTGCTACTATAATCCAAGAGAAGACAAACGTCAAAAAGCAGCTCTAAAACATGCTGAGCAGACAAACAAGGCCTTGAAGGCGATAATTGCTATTCTTTATAGTGGAACAGAGGTTGATCTTGATGAACTAAAAGCCAAGGTCAAGTCATTTGTTTCGAAGCAGTCATGGAGGAGTTGCTTGAGCATGTATATATCTGAATGGAGCCTCTAGTCAACCCTCACGAGAATGAAGAGAAATATTACAAGAGGTGTTCTTGTCTTTGTTCATATTTGATCGTTCTGATTAACATCCGGGTATGTTCAGATTCCAGTTTTGTTGGATTCTCAATCGTTGTGGCCAGCTGGCAGAGAAGGGGATAGCCGGTAATTTGATATTCCGTTCCGGTCGCGCGGATTTCTTAGGAAATTGCCGCGTCATCAGTAGGCGGTCAGGTAGGAATCGCCCTGTGTCAGCAATAAGTTTTGACCGCCTGTTAATGGTCGCGATCGGGTTCTGGGAAGCCAACGCGACTGGTAGTGATTAAACTCCTTGACTAATTGCTGAATCAGGGTCCAAGGACATTGACACACCGTGCGCACTACGTCTTATCTTCCTGTCTCCCACGTGCAGTCATGAAGCTCAACAAGTCTATAAAGCTTAATCCAGAGGCTCACTTGATATATGCGCTTCGCCTGTGCACCAAACTACTCGCCAAACATCCAGATCTAAGACTCAGCAACAGAGTTATCAACGTTATTAACGAAATAGATGATTTATGCAAAGATAATCGCCAATGCGGGTTAGCGAATCGCAAGCGAAAACAGAAATATCCTGCTTACCGGCCAACGAAGCCGTTTAAGCGCGTACGCGTGGCGCCTGCAGCTCAACGTGATGACTTGGATGCTTCTCGTGGCCCGGCAAACTTTTGCAATAATACCTCCCGCGATAAAACCTGTCCTGAAACCTTCTCACGAACCTCCGGCGATTCAACCTCTGACGGCCCTGCAACATCCTGTGATGCTACTTCTTATGGTACCTCCGGTGCGACGATCGATCCCGCTAGAACTTCGCCTGAAACGTTCGGTCATCCATCAACAACCAGCCATCCAGCCTCACATGGCGCAATCAGTCACCCACAAGAAACCGCAAGTGAACCCTCTTGCGATATGACAATTCAGTCGCATGCAACCTCTCTGGAGGCCTCGAACTCCTCCCGAGAAGACGGCTGCGAGACCTCTCGCGAGCAAGCAGCTATTTTGCACGCAGTATATTCTGGACTCTTCCTGGTTTGATTGGAAGAAGGAGAAGCTCTACCACCCTATTAAACAGGTTATTATTCGAGCTATGGGTAGTTTAAACGCAAACCAGAGGGGCATGATTCGGTTTTACGAAGCTACAGAAGGGACGCTTCCCCAACAGTCGAAGCAGTTGTGCGGCTACTACCTGATGGTATACTTGGAGCTTCTGGCCGCTGATCCTGATGCTCTACTAAAAAGGGTTAGGGATTTCAACACCGCTAAAGCCAGGATGGATTATCTATTTGAGCCTGGGAAGATGGACGGCGAACTAGCTGAGCAATTTGCGGAGCTGATTCAAGAGTTTCAGCATACTAAACAGAAGCAGGGCCGCCTGGTTACCGAATCTGGTCGTCTAATGTTTGATGGTGATCTAGGGTACCTGGCACGCGGTGTGAGCTTAACTTGATCAGGAATTCGCAGTGGCCGACGTAAGAGAAGTTTAAATTGATGACAAACTGAAAAGTAGAAAATAATCTGCTTAATCTATTTTAAAACCCTCTCAGGACCAGAAGGCTCTGGATATTGACTCTTCCAAAACCCTGCTCGCGCAGAAAACCACGGCCACCATGTGCAGGGAACTCAGCGACCACAATCACGTGGATCTTCTCTGAACTGATTCCAACTTGATTCAGTAATTGCAGCACTGCCAAAGAGTGCGCCCGCCAGCAAGCACATCGTCCAGAACCACGACGGAGGCGTCTCTCGGGAGCAATCTCTCTTCTAATTCTAGCAACTTCCAATCCCCGTCATGTGATCCCATGGACGAGATATGGGACCCGGAGTTGGAGGACGGAAGCAGTAGGTGGTGGAAGCTTTCCGCGCTCGCGAATCAGCACCAATGGTATATTAACCTGCATTGACAGTCCCGATCCAATGACAAGTCCGGCAGCCTGGCAACACGCTATAGCATCAACTTTGGACCAGTCGCCGGTGAAACGAGTCTGGAGTAAGGATACGCACAGCTTCAAATCCGCCTCGCTGCTGGGCGATATTCAGCACTTGACGAAATCAACGCCTGGACACGGAAAGTCGGGTACTAAGCGTATCATGTCGGCTAGCCGCAGAGGATCTGCATGAAAGAAGGGAAGCAACCAGCGCTCGGCAAATTTTTCTGTCGCTCCGCTACCTCTCACATTATTGTGGAAGTCAAAAATGGGCTGGTAGTCCAAGGCGGTCGCATTGGACGTCACATTCGCAGTTTCCGGTTGTCTGTCGCTGTCATGAAGAGGGTCATTGGAGGAGCAGCCTTGGCCAGCTCGCGGCATTGCTCGACCGGACGAGGGATACGATGTCCGGCAAGGCGACATTGTCGTGAGCCTGCCCTGTGAGATCATTTGCGGCATCCGCCTGCATGACTTGATCAAGGCAAAAGCTTGGTGACAAGCGTGAGCGCAAAGGCTTCCTTGACGCTCTGCAACCGCGTACATTTACCTACCCTGAGATATTGACTGACTCTCTTCAAGAAACAATAGCTCAACGACATCGGCGAGACCATAACCCTTCTCACACCTCAACCCCTATCCAAAGTTTTTCCTCCATTATCGTGGACTTCCAATCCCTGCAAACCGGGGCTATGACGTCCCATATAGTAGCTCTTGTACCCTCAACAATATCTCCGTCTGCAAGTGCATGGTCTTGTGAATCTCTTCAATAAGCTCTTCAAGCGTTTCGAGGTTTTGCGGCCAAACTTGTTGTTCATCATGGACTGCAGACCGAAGGCGCTTTACACGCAAGTAGAGAATTTCACTTTGTGTTGAAAGCTATAGACGTGAGTATTCCGGTTCTACTATTAACGAGGGGTAAGGGTTTCTGGTCCACACTGACATTATAGAGGTGTTCTTCTATCATCCAGCGCTGTGGTCCGCTGTGATACTGAGGGCCATTTTCCCTGCATTAAAAAGGACCATATCAGTGGTGTTCAATAATCGAATAAGGACAAGAAGCGTACCTAAATAACGGGGCCATTCGTTCTATAGCCCCATGGAATACTATCAGGTTGGAGAGGAAAATAGGAGATGGCTCTGTAACAGGACGTAACAGGATTTAGGCAAGGCGGGAGAGGCGAGGAGAGTATTGCAGTAGTGGCCACAAGACACCACCTACCACTATTCACAGATATAAAACCAATTTGCGGATCGATGATCATGTACAAACGAAGGAAATCTAGTATATCCCTTTTCTGACACACCTTGTGATACGCATCACGCTTGCGCCCAGTAGCAGTCGCGCTTTTACCAAATGACAACAAAGTACGACCAAGAATTGGATAAATGTCGAGGTATCACTACTGAGCCCTTGCGTATGTAAGCCACGAAGTTTCCAGTATTGCAGCTAAATCTTGGTCGGAAACTAGGCGTGGACAGACAAGTCTATCTTCGAATGATCACTAGTGCAGATTAACGCTGCAAAAGGATCGTTTTGCGCATGCCAGAGGATTTCCATGCACAATAAAGACAAGGTTTTTTGACGTTGCAAAACAGGGCAACAGCGGCAAAGCTGTAGCACTTTCTTGTCCATTTCTCAGGCTCCAATGGCCCGCTCCAGGCCCAGCCATGATGGTGATCCGCCAAACTGCGGTTACAATCACGCCCAACCCGGCTATAAACTGCTTGACCTGCGTCGATCGATACCTGATCCGACACTCGGTCAGTGGGCCCAAGGCTAGTAGTACCTTGTTTTTCCTGCACGGTATTTTGCACAAGCCAATACCGGTCCACTCAAGGAAACAAAAAGAGTGTACTTGGTTCATCCGCAGATAGCTCCCTACACCAAATGTTCCTATGGGTAATTAATGGTCTCTCTGATCGTCCTCTTCGGGCTTTGAGCCGTCGCGTCTTTTCTGCACCAATTTTATCCTTTTTTTGCGCGACTCGTGCATGAACACGAAATATGTGTAAGGCTTGTTGCGGTCTCAAAGCTGCCCTGTCGTCTTGTTTCAAAACATACAAGGCGATATGCTGCCTCTGACTCCTGTAAGACTAAGATAAAAGAGGCCATTGTCTTTTGGACCTCAATTTCTTACTGAATCTGGAATTCGTTCAATATCCGTGTTTGAGAACTTAAAAAAGTGACGTTAGTATCTAACGGATAATCCCGGATTTTCGATAACTTTCGGCCAGAGTCTCGCTATAACTTGTCAAGTGTCCGTTGCCTGTTAAGGCAAACCAAACTACTGCATTTACAGCATGTCAGGTGCGGAAGTCTAAGGTAGCGATAGAATTTCTCTCTTCCCTCTCTTCCCTCACTGCCGTGCTTCGCACTCTCGCGCTTCTGCAATATTACAGTCAAACCCTCCGTTCACTCTACCGTCGGAAGATGTCGATCCTGCCAAATGTACTGCAAAGGATGATTTTCGCTGTTGTACTTTCTTTTCTTCTGGCCCATGCACGGGCCGCTCGCTTCCAAATTCCGGCCAATTACACACTGGAAAATATGTTCCAAGACACGTCAAATCATACCGTGCCGACATTTCCAAACCCTGCTTTAGTTTCTGAGTAAAGGAAGCGCAATCTTTGATCTCGGAGTAGCGATGTCCAGGCGGCAGTGGGGAGGCGGTAGGCAAGTCACAAAGGCGCCACTACAATGGAGCACAGATAAATTCTCTAGCTGCCTTATGAGCGGCGCATTTTCCTTAAAAGGTTAAAATTTACGCATTTGTAGGAATAACGGGCAATGGGAACACCCTAGGCATCGCCTGTGACCGGGGATAAGACCAGCCTTCCGCGCACCAATTGGATCTTCATCAGAAAAGGGTCTAGAACAGATGCGCCTTGCATACGACCACAACATATGCTCTGCGTAGACGGCGATCGACTTGTTCTGACTCTTGGTGTTATGGTGACGTAAGTTACTCACGTGATAGCGAGAAGGGTGACAGGCGTCGAGTGTGCCGGACTTTCCGTTCCACACACTTGCTAAAAGCAGAGCTGAAAGAGCACGGAACGGTCCGCACTGGCGGCCCCTGTGAACCATGCCAGGGTGAGTTGAGGCTTGCAGATCCCACTAGGATCACAACAAAGCTGGGGACAATCTTGCACGTTCCACCAGGACTAGGTTGGTCGATAAAGCAGGGTGGCCTATGCATAATAAACCACTGTGATATCTTGTCCCATACCAAAGTTTATAGCATTCTAGTCATAGCTCATCTGTACCTATGGACTCCACTTTATGCTTTTTATCAATTATCTACCTTTGTTGTTCCACTCTTGCCATATATGCATGCATCTATCTTACCATATCCTTGTCCGTAGAAGCAAGTGCATTCGTAGCCATCGTATTCGGTCCGTCATCAAACTACACACACTACCTGTCATCTCGTATGCTCAGAGAACCTCCCGACCTTTAGCACATACTACGTCGCCGACTTTCTTAAATGATTTATCCTGCTATCCTCGCCCCACCTGTACCATCCTGGCGACCCCTCAGGCCATATCATTATCTTACCTGTACCGTCTGGTCCTCTCCCGTGTTGCTCAGCCAGCTCTTGCTTGTTTTACCAGCCATAGATGCTCCCCAGCACTCCCTTCAGTTTCTAAGTCCTGTTCTGTGACCTTACCTAGCATGCGATCATGGTTGCAGGCGTTACGCGTAGGTTCGCTTGTTCATGGGAGCATTGTGACAAGGTGATATAAGATCTCTTGTCTTGTCATATCCATACTGAGAGTTACAAGTCCTTTGCCCGCAGAGCAGACCTCCACAGACATTACCGCATCCATACCAACGAGCGACCATACTCTTGTATTGTCGAGAATTGCAAGAAGAGTTTTATTCAGCGGAGCTCCCTGAAAGTCCATGAAAGAATACACACGGGAGAAAAGCCATACATCTGTGTCCATCCTGAGTGCCAGAAAGCCTTTTCCGATGTACGATCATTTCAGCTTGACTTTTGGAAGCTCAAGATCTGACACCTGCCTATCTTAGTCATCTAGTTTTGCTCGCCATCGGCGGACCCATCTCAGGGTGCGGCCTCACGAATATGGTACACCAACATACAAAGAAAGGTACATTAGAATTAGAAATTCTGCCATTATCTACTGAGCTCGCTCTTAGATTTTCAGTAATAACTCACGTCTCAATAGGCATCGACGACGGTCTCACTTACCAAAATCGAGGACCGACAGGGAGACCTCGAAGAGCTCAACTGATATCTTCAGCATTGCAAGCGCCACGCCAACCTCATCTGCAGACCGTCGTGCTCCACGCCCTGAGCATGTTGCTTGCCCCAGGACTTGCGCCTCTTCAATCTCTTCAGTGTCTCTTGAGTCTTGGCCCGTTCAAAATCAAACCCTGACTTCAATACCTGTTGAGCAGCTACCGGCTGAAACCCAGAACTTCTCGGGAGCGGACTCATACCTTCCGGACCATGATTTTCATCACCATCAGGTGTACTGGCAACAGGAGTCTGATTGCCAAATCTATGCTAGGCCTGTGTACAGGTATTCCACGTCTTTGTTCACTTGGTTGCCAGCTGCCGCAAGCCTTTCATATGGGAATACTTTTACATTTACGCCAGCATTATGAGAAGCGCTTGATAGTCGTCAACTCCTCGTTAGTTCCAAGTATCTACCATCATCACCTCTTGATTCATCAACCGGAGGATTTCGTCGAGTCTTGACACGGCTCCAGCAAGGCTATTCGCCATCAGAAATAGTTAAACGGACCGAGAGGTGCTTACCAACAATCTCCGTCGCTTTATACCTCTAAGAACGGCCGCACCTGAATTCCAATTGGCGATATGTCCTTTGCTATCCATCATGAAGATGGCATATTCTCTGAGAGTATCAACAAGAATCTTATAGGTCCCGTTTAGGTAGGCGTGCTGGTAATTGGCGGCTTACTTAGTGAGTCTTAGTGCCTCAAATACAAAAAAGAGCAGTGTTGAATGTTCCCTGATAGGGGTAACACGTAAATCATAAAGGACATTTCCCTGGGCGGAATCCCGTCAATTATTTGGGCTTCTTTTGTTAAGCAGGCTACGCGCATAGCACCTTAATAGTTTGGATATTAGGGGCGGGAATTGCCTCCAGCTCAATTGCACTGAAGGTCGCACGCAGCAAGGAATCGCGAGTCTTCCCAGGGGAAAAGGTATGGCTGTACAAGATTTCAACAATAGATATGGAATGATCAAGGATAAGCGTAAGACTGGATGTATAGCGATATATCCAGCTCAACAAACTCCATAGTATGGCGTCAGGCAAGTGCATGTAGAGCGAACATTGGGTACCAAACCAACCGCAAACCTACCATCCTTGTCCGGCGCAATGGAGGTGCTTGATTTTTATTCCACAGTTCCAGTCCTCAATAATTCTCAGTGTAATTAATTTTAGCCCTTACTAATACCAAGGGACCAGCGTCTATGTAGAATGACTTATGTACTGTAAGAAGGCCCCAATGTTACGAAACCACATTCGGTGGGAGCTGTTAGTAGAGACCGAAAGCCATCAAATGCGCAATCCTTGTTACTATCCATTATCCATATATCTGCACCAGACCAAGCCCATATAATGTTCCCAGATAAAGTCACCCCATTCTCTAACTATCAACACCGCGGCCTTCACGCACCCCGAGCCCTATCCACTATAATCACTGACTTGCACCACGGGATATGGCCGTCCACGCAGTAGCTCCTTGATGGCGACCAGTATCTCGGTCTGCATGCGCGTGGCGTAGTCGATCTCTTCAAAGATCTCCATCAGCGCTTCGGGGTATTGCAACGCGGACTTGTATGCTTGTGTACCACAGACTTCCAGGTAAAGCCGCTTTAGAAGCAGGCATAAGATCTCACATTGTCTTGAGAGCTACTAGTCGTCAGTGCGCTAAGTTTTTTTTTATTATTATTCTGAGGGGTAGCCCCGGTCTGGACTTACAGTGCTGAGATGCTCCTCAAGACTTGACAGCCAGATTCTGCTCTTTTGCCGAGGGCTCTTTCCTCTTGATGGAACGACGATGTTAGTCTGGTTAGTGAATGAGCAACAGGCGGGGGTGGTACCTCAGTGTATTCACTAGCACCAGTGCCATTTCCTTGTATCTTCACAGCCAAATTGGAAATAAAAAAAAAAAAACGAGAATGAGCAAGCGTAAATGAATATGTATCAAGATGATTATCCTGAGTTAGCACAGTTGGGAGAGAATTGGCAGGCGGTCGTTCCGCGATATGGAATTTCAAAGGGCCATGAGCTCGTAGAATGAAAAAGATTGACTTGAGCTCAATACATGTACATACTTTCACTCAGTACTAATAGCACTAGTCTCAACCCTGAGGCACTGTAGAAGAGGGTAAAGTAGGAGAAGGTACCAAAGTACATAGATAGCATCGTGACCTGTCATGGTCGGCGCTGATCGCGGCAAGGGCCGTAGCAAGGCAAACGGCACTATTTATATAGGTGCAACCTTTCGCGGTACTTCGGCCACACAGCAGATATTTCATCCTATCATGTCTTAGAGCGCATCGGCCTGATAGTCTTGGAAGAAAGAAGATATAGCACCCCACTTCCTCTCCAAGACAACAGCACCGCCACACTGGGTATGCGGCTCGATAATTAACGTTCAAGTTCATAGAGGAACTAAATTACACCCTGGATTATCCGATAGTAACTACGAAGAGAAAATGAATGCAGGTGAGAATCGGTTAAATCGTTTCCTCGTAGTCTGACATCTCATTTTGATCAACACGAGGTCCGATGACTTGGAATTCTCTACGGCTGGGTGGCGACGTAGAAGTGGTTGAGCATTCGGTCACACCAATCTTTGACGACGCGACCATATTCTGCCCTTACTACGCTTTATGGGAGCGAACAAGCGCACAGGCTGAACAGGCACCGGACAATAGGTTCTCCATAGAACGTGAAAGTGCCAACTGCGGGAGCACAGTGGTTTCATCAAGCCCTAGCTTAATTCTAGTTGATTAGGTGGGGTGTAGGTCACATGCCCTCACTGCATGGGATCCCACACTAAGCAGCTCATCATGATCGGTGACCACCAACAACTGCGACCAAAGATCAACACCTATAAACTACCGTAGAGAAAGGATCGGGATACGGCCTCAATTGGTCACAGGTGGGCTAGGGCCAGTCCAGGCCCTTTCGATGTAACATCGCGGAAGATGCTCCCAATTAGTGACGTTAACGATCTCTGCTTTCAGCATAATAAATGCATCTCCCACCGGATCTCCGGATGCTTACCAAACGCCACCTACGCCCGATATATATCTTTGCCTTCTTAGCAACTGTATCCGCTGCGTTGAGGGACGGGTGATTCTAGAAGGATTTATGTCTTGTGCCCTTTTACAATCAGCGCATGGAATTGACGCGGTTAGCGGATATTTCTCTTCGCCATGTCCGAGCAAACCCTTGGACATCTGTAACTGATAGTGATCAGCTTGTGTCTGGGGTGCGCTCTGGATAAGGTAGAAACTTGGCACATTGATGGCTTTTATCATGGTGCTGCCCCGACTGTGTAGTCATTGCCAGTTCACAGACAAATATTAGCTTCATGAACCACTGAAAACCGAACATGAATTGATTGGCCGAGACATCTTGGTCCGTTTCTCTCTTATACCGAGAACGCGCGGCTCCTTGTTTTATCGAGTATATAACCTGTTTTTGGGATTCACCGTGCTCTGGCCAGTCTTCGTCGTGCATCAACACTCGCTTAGTTTATGGGCTTGCTTCGCAAAGCCCCATACAGGCAAGTGAAGCAGTACGGTCAGCGCACATATGTCTCCGGCGCGGTCGTCTGGACACATATCACCTTCCTCGAGCGGTACATGTGCCTTTTGCTTGGAATGCCCACCGCGATAGCCAGGATCCGCATTGGATCAGACGAGCCCCTACCTGGAGACTCGAGCCTGGACTGGTTCGAAAAGGCGCAGACGGATATGTTTAAGCGGATGATTGAACGGCATCAAGAGCGCAACTACCACGATCTGGTAGCAACTCAAAAGATCGACTATGAGCTGAACAAGTTGGCAAACAGCATACCTCAAAGTGGTGGACCCCGTTGGACCTTGCCCAGGACTTGGACAAAAGGAATATAATGAAAAGGTCATTAGTACACATTTGCAGATTGTTCACTATAATCTCCTCGCAGTCCTGCACCTGCCGTATCTCCTATGGGACGCTCGAGTTTCCCCCAGATTCGCTCTTGGAGATTAGGATTTGGGAAAAAATCAATTGACTGGGTCAGCCACGTTGCCCTGGGTTGTCAGGCCGAGTTCGAAGCAACAAGTCGCTGGCACTTGGGGAATTGTTTCCCTCTTGTCACGATCCACGAAATCCTGATGTCATGACAGACTGTCATGAATGGTAGCAACGTCGGTGATAAATTACCTTGCCTTTGCAAGCATACCCGTCCCATTTCATGATTATAGTAGTACTCTCAACACTTTTCGCCATAAATCCACAAACCAACAAACGGGCATTTTTCCCTACCACAATCCTACCAACCTATACCGCAATAGCAAGCATGCCCAAGTCCATTTGCGGCAATGAACCAGGCTTAATCAAATCGTCACTTGCTTCCGCACGCCCGGCCCCAAACTGCCTGAGATTACACTTGTCCAACCCCTTGATCCCCTGCAAATCCTCGCGGAACATCCGGAAGACATCCGAGTTCAGCCGCTCGTACTCAGCGTAGTCCTTTGGCCAGTTGCCCAGGCGCTCGACGGCGAGTTTGAGGAGATGCAGATGTTGTCGGACGGCCTTCGCATGTGCTCTAGTAGGGTCCGACTCATCGCCGGGGCTGGAGGCTGGGGATGCGGAGGGACTTGAGCCCGCGGAGTATGGATCAGCAATACTGCTATCGGCGTCAATGGCTGTAGCGGCAGAGCTGGGATCCACGAAGACGCGCAGTGCGTTCTCATGCAGCGCCGCAGCCTTTTGTAGTACTGCGTTGCCAGCCCTTTATGGTCTGCTGTCCCTTGGTATCCTTGCGCGACGCTAGTGTACATTTGTGAGAGGAGGATAGTCATCTCGATGGTACTTGAGTGACGAGGTCCATGCACACGGGCACAATTGTAGACAATGTCCTCGGCGAGTCGGATCGAAGACGAATAATCACCGACCAGGTAGAGGGTGATGGCCAGCATGCGGCCGAGTGCGGGAGTGTATGTGTCGTCTGAACCTCTTGCGCGACTCTTCTGGCGCTTCTCCCAGAGTAAAATGAGCAGCCAGGCCAGGTTCTGGTAGTCTTTCTCCTTGTCGAGGGATTTGATGAGGCTGTTAAGGTGGATGGGGTCTAGACAGGTGAGGTCAATATCCCTGCTCTTGCAGTAACCCAGCATTTCCTTGATGATGGTGCCTGAGACCTGGAGCATTCTTTCGGTGTCTGGTGCTTGGGGCACTTGGATCGCCCAGTTGGAGATTGCAAGGCCCATTTTGAAGAGTAGTTTCACTGGTGTGATCGAGGCGAAGCCGTCATGCGCACGAGCGAACTTGAAGGCGGCCAGAGCCAGGTCGCAGACTGGGCCGTTCCGGTCGAAGTCATTTGATTGCAGAAGCTGGATGACCCTGGTTTGTGTGGCAAGGACGATCGATCGGAGGAAGTTCTGCGACGAATGCGACTGGAAGTGATCTAGAATGGTGGATAGGAACACGCTGGCCTGTTTCCGGTTCAGTTCGAGTTTCTGGCCTTGAGTCGACATGAAGTAGTCGGTGAACTGCTCCAGCAGACGGTGAGAGATTTCTGCCTGGCCCCTAGCGAGCAAAAGTCCCCGGAGGTGTGAGACAATACCAAGCACGCTTTGGAGGGTACTGGACTTGGAGTGGACTTCCTTCTGGAACCGCTCGAAATACTGGACCTCGGCTACCAGCGACGAGTAAATCTCCGGCATTGTCAGTGAAGCTTCCCCGCGGTCTCGCAGGCTATACTCGAGCTGCGCCAGGAAGAGGAGGCTGTGGCGTTGGCTCGAGCTGAGGTCGAAACCAACAGAGCTAGTATTGGTCGTGTCCTTCGCGACCATCTGCCGGTAGATCTCCAGGGACAGCTTTCTGGCACGCTGAACTTGCCCAATGGCTCTATAGCTGGAGACAATGCTCTTAGCAGCCGGGACCTGCTGAGACGAGAACTGCTCGGACGAGACAATATGAATTGTGGTCTCCTGAAGCAGGGCTGTGGCAGCCTGGGTCTCTCTTCTCTTCTCGTACAGAGAAACAACCTCTTCCATTTGGGACAGATAGCTTTCATGGGCCCATCCATACGTTTCGCGAATGCTAGACAGCCGCTTGACTCGAGCAGCGACGACACGGTGAAATTGCTGCGTGGTGAGCTCTGTCGACGTCGCGTCTACGCCATCGTGCCCTTCGTATATTGCTTCCAGCGTCATACGGATGTTCTCGTAGTCAATGTCGACCTCGCTCGAGTGCATCTCCAGGAGTGACTCAAAGAGCTCCGTTGCTTCAGCCTCATACTGCTTGATTCCCTGGGCGATGAAGGCGAGTGTCTGCGTCGCGTGGATCGTGATCGCGGCCTGCGCACCAAAGACAGTAATGCAGGCCTTGCGATACTGCACAGTCACGTCGTGGATGACATGAGCATCTGCATGGGTCATTTGAAGACACAGCACGTAGCGATCGTAGACGGCCCGCACGAACCCTGAATCCCGCAGCTGGGCATTGACTCGCGGGTGCTGGAGAGTGTTAAACAGAATCTGACAGAGCCGCAGTGCCTCTTGGTAACGCTCTTGCTTGATGAGTTCTGTGATCACGATGACGAGCGGCTCAAATGCACGCGAGTCGCACGTGTTCGAATCCTTGTTCAAAATCTCGAAGATTCGGCGATAGTAGCCCACGGACGATGGCTGCGGCCGCGTCAGCTCAGCCAGAGTCCATAAATGCTGCAAGACGACCGAGTGATCTTCGCCAAAGTGCTTGGAATAATCGTTGACGACATCCGTGTGGATGGAGATAAGCTTGCTGGTCTGACGTGTGCGCTCATAGAGGTGAATCAGCTTCTGTGTGACTCTGCTGAGACAACAAAAACTTGGAGTAAGCCTGGATGACACGCAGACTGCGAAGCTCCCACTCCAGGGATTGCTGCAGGCGGTAGGCCCTACTAACTCGCTGCCAAATATCGACAAAGGTCTGCTCGGCAGCGAGCTTGTTATAACAAACCTCGGCAACGGCAACTCTCGTGACCCTCAATCCCATCAGCCTTTTCCTCCAGTTGCCTTTGCGAGTGTACCAGGCTGCGTTGATCTCTCTCCACGTAGCCACTTCATCTTCTGGGTTCGAAGCAGACACTGGCAGGACTGAGCAGCAGGATGTTTCACCCCAACATAGTAGAATCACGGCAGATCCGTCTTCGGGAGATATTGGCTTCATATATTTCTTCGATTCCGATATCCGCCTCTTGTGTCTCGTCCTTCGAATGTCAAAACTATGAGAGGTCGATCCAGAGAAGTTTGTGTCGACATCTTCTCCACCTTCTGTTCCCCGTTCAACGTTCATTGACCACTGAGGTATCATTATTGGCCGGGAACAAAGATTGTAGCCGCCCATGGGTGCGATTATGGGTTGAGATTTCGGCTCGGCGTCCAAGCGCGATTTTATTTATGAGTGGAGGTGTCGAAGCCCGAGGATCGATCGATGTCGGCAAGGATGGATCTTCCTGGAGGAGAAGGGAAATAGCCTTACGATAAAATGTTGTCTCGAGTGGAGACGTCCGGGGTAATGGCCTGGAATAGATTCAGATGCTTGGCCTGGCAATTCTTCATCCACAGCCCTTCGTGCTGGCAGAAGTACTTTGCGAGGAAGACGAAGATGATCCATTCTGCTTGATTACCCGAATTCCTACAGGAGCACGCCGGGTTAAACGGAACATTTATGGCAGAACGTCATGAGGCTACGGACTCCTATGCTGGCTTTGCTTTGCCCTGGGGTAAAACTAGATGCCCCAAGGTAGTCTACTGTACGTTATCGTGTCAATGTCAAAATGCCATTTTCTGCGACCAAGATACCAGTGCCCCTCCTGGAAGCTTCGTTTACTATTTACATAGGCATCAATAAGAGCAAGATCCCAACTCAGAAATAAAACCCCGAAACCACTGTCTCATCTATGTTAGGAAAGAATTATCATAAAAGCTCTACAGCACGCCAGAGACTAGCTATTCAGCCAAAGAATCCGTGGTTTTAGGCGAAGAGCTCTGTGCTGACAAAGTTTGGCATCTTGAGTTGCAGAACTCCTTGTCGGTTACTTGAGTTGGAGTTGGATAATAAGATTTCTAGACAAATCAGCTTAAGGAACAGCCGTGCGTCTCGGGAGGTATACCAATTGTACCCCTACAAATGCCCAGAACCCTAAGGAATCAGCCGAAAAGATGTGTACTCGGCCTTTCTCCAGGATACGTATGCCTAAGCAAACATCGGCACCGCACATGTTGCTGTACTCAAAAGATTTCTTTATAAGACTATTTTTGCGACGGTCGCGCTTCTGGCGAATCATCTTCTTGCTTAGTTTTAAGCTCTTTGATACTTTTTGGCTGGATGCATCCATGTTATCTGAAGTAGATAGAGTCTATCAAGAGTCTCTTGAATCGTCATGGGCCACATTAGTTAATGCTTGAATGAAAGGCCAAACTTATATGCGGGTCAAATAGTATCAAATTTACATATGTGCAAAGGAGCATAATATAGCGATGTTAGCCCACTTACCCACGGCGGCCCCATTAAGGCAAGCTTAGTGAGGGTCATCCCCGAGCGCGACGGCGGCGCTAATCTGTGGGTCAGCTTCCGCAGCGAACCCGATTAATTGATTGATTGACTCAGAGTGATTCACAGTTGGTCCCACTGGTCAGAACCTATAGTGTGCGCAGCCACATCTGAGAAATATTTATTTTGTCACTCGTCCATGCAGAAAATAAATTCCCCCTCTGACACGTCCAGGGAATCTGCGGAATTTGCAGCGGCAATTAAGGACGAAAGCAATAACGAGATGAATGTCTTATCAAAGTTTCGGCTGCAGGCCCCTTGAGATACCAGTTAGTTGCCAGGCACCTGAGCGGGCTCTCAGTGGCTCATGAGCCACCACGGACTACGGTCCCCGCGGGACAGTGAAGGGCCCGGTCCCGTGATGATCGTAGGTCAGCCACAAAGACAGCAGAGCCACTGAATGTGGCGAGTGTATGTGGCTAGTTAGCCTGCAGCACGGCAGCCGGAAGACTCTTCTTCCGAAAGGAAGTTTTTGAGGGAAAAGGCCACGTCAGCAGCTCGGGCTTGGCGGGCGAATTTTAAAGGGCTTCAGGGCGTTCAGGTGAAAGCCTGAGGGTAGGGCCGCGTGGGCGCTAAGCCTGACCAGTCCCGATCGGGCGCAAAAAACTGGGTGAACACGGACACAACAGCATGGATTCGCATGTGGTCACCCACCATACTACTAACCTACCGGCGTGTGTATGTGGCTTAAGCGTGGCCAGAAGTCGGGTGGGTGCCGCCCGGGTGAGCTTAGGGTGAGGCTGCTGTACGGTCGCGCGATTTGGGCTGAGACGCGAGCGAGTGCGCAATAGACAGGGTGAGGAGCTCACACTCGGGGGTGAGCCACTCACCCCTCGACCCACGAATTGGCACGAATCTAAGCAGCACCAAACATGCCGCCACATCATCCTGGCAGTGTAGAAGTTGTTGACAGGGTCTAAAATTGTAAGAGCACGTGATAATCAGATGGAGCGTCTTTACATGCGACAGTTGACTTTTGCATGGAAGGGTCAAATCAGGAATTGGCCCCTCCACCTTGATTGCTCGGTGCCAAGGCCCGCTTGGTCCATCAGAATGTTCCGGAACTTTCATCGATCGTGCAAGGACGATGAGTTCTCTGTAGATAAGTATTCTCATCCACTGAGAACTTTCCTTTTTCCCTCTCTTACCTCGCGGAACCATCCGCTTGTCCCGACTAAAAGGCGATCATCATCTCCCAGGACCAACAGATTCAAAAATTGTGGCGAGGCCTAAGCAAGAATAAGCCGTTCATGGCCCAAACTTGCAAAAATGAATCTTCGTTCACAACAAAATTCGACATGATACACTGCTGCAGGTGTCGACTTCCGCTTGGCTTAAGATATCACACGGTACACGATGGGTTTGAATTCAGTCTAAATTCTTATTACTGCAAAAGGTGTTGTCGGAAAGTAGGCTTCGAGATATTCCGTCAACACAACCTTGCGAACAAATATCAAACAACAGAACTGTCAAGGCAGCGAGCCTAGATATCGACGCAGTCTCGGTTCCCAAATTTTCTGCTCACCCTCCAACCCCCGCTCCACCCCCTCGAGCGTTTTATTTTGAGCTCCAGCAGGCGGTCAAGACTCCCGCTGACATGAGGGCGGCCCTGCCTGACCGCCTACCAATGACGGGGCAATTTCCTAGGAAATCGACGTGACCGGAACGGAATATCGTGCTGCCTGCTCTTCCTCAAGAACTCGCTCTTGCCAGATCGCTACCGCTGGCAACGCTCTAAAAAGGCCGAGACCTGAATACAAGGAACTTCATTGAACAATCAAGTCAGAACAAGACGACGGTACCTTATTTATAAAATTGCTCTCTACTTACTGGCGGTCGGCTTTTTATCCTGTCAGGGTTGACAAGAGGCTCAATTTACATAAATACCAATGACTCCATTCCGACTGGCTCGTGACGATACCGTATGCACCATGATGCAAAGCATGTTAGCGTCGCCCGTGTTCGAAGCAATAATCAAATACCGAAGGCAACAAGCTCTGGGTCGAATCTTCAGGGCTACTAGAATATGCAGAATCGACATCATCAAGGTGCTCTTCTGGTAAATCATAAGAATAGGAGAAAGATAGAGATCGACTACGCCATGCGCATGCAGACCGAGATACTGGTCGGCATAAAGGAGCTACTGCGTGGACGGTTAAGGCTCGATGAACCTCTCCTGTTGAGGAATCAAGAGGCGATGAGGGTAAATACTCGGAACAACAACGAGTCAACGACTATCAAGCGCTTTTCATAACGCTGGCGTAAAAGTATCCCCATATGAAAGGCTTGCGGTAGCTGGCAACCAAGTGAACAAAGACGTAGAATACTCGTAAACAGGCCAAGCATGGATTTGGCAATAAGACTCCTGTTGCCAGTGCACCTGATGGTGATGGAAATCATGGTCCGGAAGATATGGCGGCGGCGCTAATCTGTGGGCCAGCATCCGCAGCCAACCAGATTAATTGATTGATTGACTCCATGAGAAATTGTCTTTTGTGGGACTTTCGTCTGTTCCTGACGGCGGTCGTCCCGTGACTGCTGTCTCCTCCCGATCGTGGTCTTCTCCTTGACGGCAGTCTCCCCAGGACAGCCGCCTGTACTTGACTCCCGTCACTTCCGTCCCGCAGTCATCTTTCTGCCTTGCCGCCCCGCCCAGGCTAGGTTCATAACAATCACCTTCGTTCTATTGCACGTAGTCTTCCGTAGCTTACGAAGAGTACATACTCCCAATCCCACGCTTGCAGGCTATTATGGGTTGGGAGCCTCGGAAAAATACCCTTCAATGATAATTTTCCCCCTTTTAATTGTCTCACTCTTCAAGTATATATTTTCAGGAGTCGATGTATCGTACTGTAGCCCTGTCGTCCTGTGAAAGAGGGTCTTGGGCACAAGATTGCTCTTCTGCCTGGACAAAGGAATCCAGCGTCGGTTCTTCCGCGCAGTCTATGGTACGGATTGGAATAAACACTTTCCTGCATATAAGATAATAGTTGAAACAAGCATCTTTCCCCATGATGGGGAAAGATGACCTGCAGCCTTCAGAAAAGAGCCGGGTGTGAGGGAGGGAAGGCCTTTGTCCAATCCTTATTACCCCCTCGGAAGCGGACCCACCGGTCAGGATCTCCAGAAGTGACGGTCCGTTAGCGCCATCCAATGATATCTATTTCCTTGCCGCCAACCTGTGGCTTTCACAAAGTTTGTGCAATCTCTGAAAGACAACTTCTTCGTAACAAAAATAGTGTTAGGGGGCCAAGGCCATGAAATATTGTTGTCCCACCAACGGTCGTAATCCCGTGTTAACAGCGAACTGGAATAATCTTAACACTGCGATAAAATTATCACAGGGAAAAGTTAACGGTCGTTAAGATTACTGGTGTGATAATGATAACGCCTTTTAAAATTTATCCTAGGTTAAGATTATGAATACAATAAAATTAAGGTCCTTTAATATGACGCACCTGCAAAGTTTACCGGTGGACCAAAATTAACTTGCCCCCGATCGACTCCCCAGCTTTGGAGAAGGCCTGGATCCGCTTCTTGGTAAGTGTTTCGGGACCCCCTCAAGAAAAGAGCGAAGATCGCCGGCCATTGAGGGCGGCGACGACGGGCAGAACTAATTGGGCCTGCAACAATCCAATGCCCGATGCTCACCCCAGCGCTCAGTGGTTAACGTCTGAGCGCCCAACCCGATCGAGCCCAACTCAAGAGAGTCCTACCTAGATGCCCCTCGCAGTACTTGAAACCCTGGGAGCGCAGCAGCGGCTCGCGAGAACTCCACTACCGGTCCCACGAATCAGGGACCAGGTCCCAAGTTGCCAGGGAATCGCGGGATAAGGAGCCTCCAAGGAACAATAGGCAAGGTACGTACCAGGTAATGGTATACAGGATGGTATGCCAGAACGAAGGATAAACAGGACGCTCGTTACCACCTGGATTTAGTATTACTTGTTCTTCGTGATCAGTGCTATTGTTATTCCAAGTACTACCTTCAGAGTATTCTGAATCCAAGACTCTTTGCTAACGACACTAGGAAGCGTTCCTACAGTACTTTGCCAACATATAATTATAAGTTTTTTTATTCCTAGGGAATTGTCAACCTTAAAAATTGTTCATGGACAACTTTCAGGGACTTGCTTTTGACAATTGATACATGCTGATGTTTGGCCCGCACTGTGCGGAAGCCTTTCTGGCAACGTGAACAGAAGTGCTTTCGCGACTGCATCATCAAATGATAACCCAGCGCCTTATATAATTCCCTTGAGAACTTGAAGGCTGAGTTGTATCAAATTGAAGTTTTCGATTATTTCTCCATTGGCTGTACCTCGGCCGTGTTATTCTTCGCAAGGAATCGCCAACAGACTGGACACCTCCGTCGTGGTTCTGGACGATGCGCTTGCTAGCGGGCGCATCGTCCAGAACCACGACGCCTAACTCGCATATCTTTCGGATGCGGTACGACGTGAATGGCAACAAAGTGGCGAGTAAGGGATCCAGGGGTATTATAGCTTTTGAACCGCTCAGATTCTGGCATTTGGGGATTTCCAAGGCAAGGGAAGCAGACCGTTGGTCGATCCTCTCTATCTTTAATGCAAACAGATGCAATTTTTTGAGAAAGAGAGGAGTTTTGCTTAGCTGGTGAAAGGTAGTTTCCAAGAGACTTCGCCTTTCTCTTCCAAATTCTTTCTTCCAAAGGAACTCGGGGAATTTTTAGAGAGAAAATATTACTGTACTTGGAAATCCAATTTGATTTCGTACGGAACAAATTCCGTACTGTACACAGAGTTCTATACTAGACAGATTTTCTATAACTAGCATCGATTTACAATAAAATAAAGCTCACTTGATCATCCCGCGATCACGTAGATCGCCTTGGCAAACAGTATCTTGCCACCCTAGCCCAAACCCACTTCCCTCGTGGCCTGGAATGCGGCCAATGAATATGACTTCCCACCGCAGGCATCTTACGAGACATCTCGGCTTTCTCTATTCAAGGTTCATATTTCGCCGCCAGCTCTTGCCAGGTTACCCTTAATGGTACAGGGTAGTAAACTGCCTAAACATCATTAGCAAAGCAAGGCAGCTTTGGGGATGATACTTACCAAGTCTTGTGGGGACGGATGCCACCGATCATCCGAGTTGAACATGAAAATCTGGCCGTTATTTCTCAGCCGAACCGTTAATGAGATATCCGCGTCACATTCTTGACAGAACTCAAAACGCTTTGCGGAACAAGGTGTCTCCTCGTCGATTATATTGTTGACGCTTTGCCCTTTTTTTGATTAGACAGGCGGCGACGGATTCTTCTTGGGGTAGCCAATTTCGCCATGAGGAAACCGTTTAAAGTTCTTAATGATGAACTAGGCAGTAGAAGGTACGTATCTTTGATCCCTTAGTCCATGGAAACATGGGTCCTAAAATATATTGTCGTACTCACCCTGCAGAGGGGTGATTCGAGAGATCTAGCCTTGGTACGTGCCTCGGCGAGGGGCGGGAAGGGCGCTTTCTGGGCTTGGCAGATCGCCGCACGTGCCTGTGGCTTAGGTGCTCGCCCAAGGGGCTGGTGACAGGATTCCGCTTCTGTCGCGTTCGATTTCGGAAGAAATTGCCGCGGAATCAGCAGGCGGTCAAGGATTGAGCCATTGTTGCTGTGTTGTACATCAGCGAGCTTGAACAGAGCTTGATTTTCAAACCCCTTCTTCCTCTAACAACACATGTAGAAATCAGGTTTTAGCACACTAGCATTTTCGTCACGACATAAGATAGGCAGAAATCCAACTTTTCTATTATTTGACGAGGGTAACCACCCCTAAAAAGTATTGTCTACAACTTTCCTTGCTGCTCGTAGTACAGCGTAATACCTACTATCCAAAGACTCCCCAGCCTCCAATTCGAGTGCATTTATTTTCTACCACTAATTCCAAAAGCTATCTGGCAAAATGGTCGCGCTTGAAGAGAGACATCTGATGAAATTAGCATATTATCTAATCAAACAGGCCCGATTCCTCTGCTCTCCAAGAGATGCAATCTGGCCCCTCCGCATATGACTCGAAACGGCTCCATGTGGCGCTGGTAAACATGAGCCTCATTTGACATCATCATCATGCTAAATCCCTTCTTCCATCCATCCATCTATCATGTCCTTTCTAGATTTGCCGCCGGAGCTAATCTCCCACATCCTCTCCTACGTCCCACCATCTTGGCATTGGGGTAACCTTGGCTGGGACAGCGATCGCTGGCGCCGCACCGTCGCGAACAATGTGCGCTGGTTTCTGCGGTTGAGGCTTGTTTGTCGTGAGTTAACATCTCCCTTTTGATTGATCTTGTCCCATTGCAGAAAAAAGAAAAAAATATATAAACCTTTTAGGAATGGAAATTGACTTGTGCCAGGAACATTCGATGGCCTTGTCATTGACCTCGTCCTTGCGGAGCTCCGAGCGGGGAATCTGCATCGAAGCCTCCCGCTCAAGAGGGGCGCCGCGAGACGATCCACAATCGCGTTTGTGGAGCGATTGCTTTGGGCGTTGGTTATTCGAACTGCCGCTGCGCCTCCTATGTCACACGAGAATGAAAGGTCTATTGCTCGAACGATTGTCGATGGCGCAGCGTTGAGTGCGGATTTCCTCACATGCTCAAGGGAATCGGAAACGCGGCAAAATGGCAGCAATGCCGTAGATGGGGAGGACGAGGAAGCAAACAAATTACGAGATGTCTACACAGGAGCGCTGATTTCAAGCCTTACCATTATACTCGGTCCGAACCTCGTTCTCGACATCCTAGAACCGGGTCAGTACCACGGCATCGATATGTTCAGCCCGCTCAATGGCGACTAACAGCAATGGCGCATCACCGCACTCATGGGCGCTGCATATCTTGGTCGAGTATCTGACCTCAAGCGCATTCTCTCGTTGGAAATCGACATCAACTTCGATCCGAGCGATCGCTGGCTATACCCGGCCGTCATGGCGGCCGCGGTAGCAGGACGCGTGGATGTGCTCGAGTTTCTCGCATTCCAAGGAGCTGATTTGCACGCGCTTACGGTCGGGAATGGAGATAATGCGGTACATTTCGCAGCTCTTGCTGGACATACCGTCGCTGTCTAGTGGTTGATCGACAAATGTGTGGATTGCGATGTCGTTAACAATGATGGGGTGACACCACTGCACCGGGCTGCGTCTGCCGGACACGCAGGTGTCGTGAGGGCCTTGTTTACTGCTAAGCCAGAGGGTCTGCGAACCGAGATCAAGGACTCGCTGGGTCGCGCGGCTATACACTATGCGGTCGAGCGAGGCTACGAAGATGTGCACGCGTTCCTCTCGCGCAAGGACACAGATATGGAGGTCCAAGACGCAGCCCTTGTAAACCCGGTGGTGGGGCGCGTTGTCACCCCACTACTCCTGGCCGCTTTGACAGGGCGAGGTGGAATATTTCATGCCATATTCTCGTTGTGGTATGCCTGACCCTGAGACTATCCCCCGGCGCACGATGTGTCGTGTCGTCATTAGAGGCAGTAGCCTGGCCATCACCAAGACGGTCATGAAAAGGGAATCGGAAGTGTATTCGGACGAGGACAGGAACTGGCTACTCGCTGGCGAAACTCTTTGTTGCGCTGCGGATTTGGCGAGCGACGATGTCTTTCGGTACCTCCTCTCCTTCGAAGATGCCGAGATCCACCACGTGCCCTGGAAGTCTGGACAGCCCCCAGAGCCGACCGTGCTGCGCGCTGCAATCAGCTCGAACAAGGTCGGGCACGTGCGAGCTATCCTCGACCATCCACGCTTTGACGCAGTGCGCATCTTCTCCCCGGACACACCCAAACGTTCACCCCTCCATTACCCAACGCACCCAGATGGCCTCGACCCAGCTATCATGGAAGCGCTCCTGGCGCACCCGGCCTTTGATGTAAATGTACAAGACGAGTTCGGACGAACCCCTTTGCACCACGCCGCCTTAACCGGCCAGATCGAATTGGTGAAGCTCCTCCTTGCGCACCCCGGGGTCGACATTAAGCGGGTCGATGCACAGGGGAAAACGCCGCTCTGTGAGGCCGCGGAGAGGGGTCATGTAGCTGTCGCAAGGGTATTCCTTGAGATGCCGGGACCAGTAGCTTGGGATGCGACACCAATCGATAAGTCACCGCTAGCGTTTGCTGTATCTGGGGCAAAGGTCGATATGGTGCGGGTGTTGCTCGAGCCGCAATATCGGATTCCGCGGGACGTGGTACTTCTTGAGAAGGGCAAGGCTGAGAAAATCATCACACAAAACAAGGCTGACTTGGCGGAGTGGCAGAGAGGGGTGTGGGACGAGAAGGCGGATTGGTGGTTTGGGAATGAGGCGTTTCGGGAGGTGTTCCTGGAGAATGTTGAGCTTGGGGTTGTTCTCCTGCATGAGATGATAAGCAGTATGTCGATGAGACTGGAGGAGGAGAAGGAAAACGAGCAATGAGCCCTACCGGGAGCCAATCCCATCTTTTCTGCCGACAGCAGGTGTACGAGGTGAGACGTGTGGGGGATGGGCCCAAGCAGGATATACAGATGGTGATGGCGTGCCTGCTCTCTGGCGAGGGCGGAATATTCTCATCGGCTGCTTGTACCTACCTCAGCTAGAACGAAGCGGGAGAACTTCTGAAACCCCTTCGCATGTCCACGCCAGGAACAAGAAGAACCCAGATACCTCTCTCGCTGTCTCCATATCCGTACCAAGGCCGCTCCATCCGAACTGATAACCAATCACAGCAGTCTATTGCACTGGTTTTCGTATTCCCTGTGAGCACGCATAATTTGGCCCTAACTAGGCGTGGCAAACTACGAAGACAAGTCATAGGTCGGAGGCTGGCTCCGTAACTCAAAAAGTAAATCCCCTCGTTGCCAATCTGATTTTTAAGATTGTCGGCGCGCAAACCCGTCAATACAATCAAGCCATGCAAGATTCCTTTGAAAATTCTGGCTTCGACAACGTCAGTCGCACTACAAGACATTTGGAAGAGGTTGGCTTCGTGTCTGGCAACGAAGCCTGCAAGACAACTGGGCCGGTTAATGCCCCTATATATATCGATTCCTCCGCTACTTGGGAACTAAGTGGATTGGTATAAGAGAATCTTCTTCATACTTCTCCAAAGTTTTTCCAAGCTTTCTTCCCTTTCCTCTTTTTTACCCCAATGATGACCTCTCAGCTCCGTGAACCTAAAATTGACAAGGACAAGCGAAAAGAGGATTCATTTTGGGGGTTTGACCCCGTCTCTGCCAATTCAAACGAGCAAATGGAAGCAGACGGTTCGAAGAACCAACGATCTGCATTAGCATCATCTGAGTACCCAGCAAAGTCGTTTCAATCGCCGCAGCTGCCCGTTTTAAAGGTATCTACTGCGATTCATTCGCAGGAACCTAAAACTTGGGCTACTCGTAGCACGCACGCGTTAGATACTGAAAACGCCAAAAAGGAAGATGAATACTGGGGTTTCGATCCTATATTGCGATCTTCAACAAATCTGAGCATGAATAACGAAGCAATGGAAGGGGGCAAGTACGTCTTGACTAAAGGCCTCGTCTAGAATTCGGTGTACTGATATGCATAGCAGTAAAGAAGCTCCTTATTGCATTGAGACCAGTCGTTTGGGAAGCGAAAGGAATGGGAAAGGTTCGAAGAAACTTGGCGTAGGATTGGCATGCGGACGACTTGCAAACTCTTGATACACAGTCATTTACGCAAATGATGGCGGAGGTCAGTTCAACGCAGGACATTAAGACAATGGATATTGACAGCGAGCCCAACACGTGCGAGGCTGTGAGGCAGGCTGCTTAATCTTGCCCGCTTGTTTTGAATCCGCTCCTTATCGTCCAACGGAGGCTTTCTCAGTCACTCTGGGGTGGAAGGGACCAGACGCCGCGAATGAAGGGGATGAGCTTGACCAAAGGAGACCCACGGAATTGCGGGCCGCTGATGGCTGTGAAGATGCTGTTATAGCCATAACACAGGGTGGTCTCGCAAATCAAGGCTCGCCAATTTAGCAGCAACCCAGTACTTGGCTTTTCGAGGACATAGAGTTATTGAGCACCTACTTTGATCCTCTTTTCTTGACATGCTGAGGGACGCTCTTGGAATTTTCGTCCTCCCGACCATGGGTCTGAGAGTAAAAGGGGGAGGAGCTGTGGATGTAGAAGCAAGGATTCTTTAACTCTGCGCAGACATTTTCAACCTGAATTAATCTCAAAACATATCGGTACCAAAAGTCGATCAACGCCAACCAGTTTAATCCTTACTTAACTTCGAACTCCTCTGGTGACAGTATTTTTTTCCTATCTCGCTCCAGTCATAGCTCTTAGTTGATTCTAGCATGATTTGTCATGTCACGGAATGGAAATTATTGTGCTCGGCTGAGATCCCGCCAATTAACACTTTCGACTTATTTGAGCTGACACGTCCTCGCGTATGATTGAATGATTACCGGGTCTGCGGTACCCATAGAGGTGTAAACCTGTTTCCGCGTCCCAGCTTGAAGTAAGCTCCGCCCAATCAAATAGCGGCACTATCAACTCTGAAATGCGAATTAAAGCATTCAGTGCCCTCTGTTTCTCTTCGACACCACTTCGTGGCGCAAAGTCCATCTTGTATCTCACTGCCTCCTCAGCTCGCAATTACCCGCCTCATCACCTCCATTGAACAAGTAACCCTCTACGAGAAACTGATTGAGCGAAACCAGGATAATATGAAGAATAGCCCCCAGCGTTTGTACGGCAAGATGGGTCCTTGATGACGGCTCCACAAATTGGCAATGAGACCAAAAAAGATGCTACGAAATCGCTCGATAAACTTATTACGAACACGCCCATCCCGACAGTTATCCTTAATTCATCTCTCCGAGTCGTCGAGGTATCGAAAAGCTATCTTAATTTATTTAAATTTGACAGGGAGAAGGTGCTTGGGTCTCCATTTCTTGATCTGTATGAGATCTCAGCCTCTCGTCTTCCCTTACTACTGTACTTGGGGCACTTAGCAACGCTGTTTCCACACAATCAGTTCAGCGGACGGTTTCACCATGGGGCGGAATCGAACATCTGCAGGTCACGCCTATCTTTGACGAGTCCAGCCTTCTTTACCTAAGTCTTGAGCTTCAAAACAACATCATCTATTTCTGACCCCCAATTTTCGACCAACCTGAGTCTTAGAAGAGAATATAGATGCGGAGGGCTTCTGGGAAGGGAGTGAGGCAAGAGTCAACCAACGCCAACTGGTTTACTCCTCATAATACCTAGGAGATGGAGTATGTTCAAGAAATCTATAGTATTGGCTCATTATCGTTGTTCACATCTCAGTATTTGATGTGGTTGAATTCAGTCTGAATTCTTATTACTGCAAAAGATGTTCTCGGGAAGTGGGCTTCGAGAACATCTGTCACCGAAAGTTTGCAACCAAATGTCAAACAACAGGACTATCGAATCAGCCCGGCTCATCAAAAAAGCCCGCCCGGAGAGAATGTACCTACATATCTGGGTCAGCAACCCTTCTCGGAACGACTGTCCATCCCCTAGTCACGCGGTTAGCAACTGAGCGTTGATATATTACCGACCTTAATCACTCACATCTTGTGACGTGCGTGAATAATTGCGATATTCTACATCGTTTTTGAGTTGTTATATTAGGAGCCGGCTTTCCCCCTCCCTGATCGTGGCACGCCATATAACCCCTCGCCTGCCGGATTACAGAAGTTCCACGTGGACTTTCTTAGTGATACCATATCCAAGGCTAGCAAGGCAAGATGCCTAGTTCTCCAAGGGAAACATAGGTATATGGCTGAAGGTACTCTAGTAGACCTAATACCCCAACGTTATCTCTGTCAGGGAAATCTTCAAGGACCGTGGCACGACATAATTTGCTGCAGGAGAAGCCGCGAGAAGAGAAAAAAGGAGATAGTGCGACTAGAGCTACGCTATAGGGAGTTAGCCATTGCAAAAAAAGAAATTAGAGAAAGAATTCAAGGCGCTCCAGAAGAGCTCCTTGGTTTTCATTCAAAGTGCAAGGACAGCAGAACAAACTTATACTTGGAACAAATTGCAGCAAGCGCCAAAAGATAAGACAGCAATGGACTGCGGCATCTGCCTTATATAACTAAACACACTTCTTGAGTTATATATAACTGACAAGAACTTTTCAGGTCTTAGGTTTGATAATGTCGAGATATTTTCTAGTCTGTTTTAACGGCCATTGTTGGGTTAGCACATCAAAATGTCTGCTTAAACCAATATATCATACCGTGCATTCCATATCGTATATAGCATGGAGGATCAAACCCCCACACATTTTCAAATTCTCGTTTACATACTAGACAAGATTTGCGAGCAGACAATGTTTTTTGTGACTCTGCCTTGAGAGGAAACGATGAATCCGAAAGTAAAGCTATATTTGGGGCCAGCGAGTCTTCATTAGGAAGTGATGAAGGAAGGGGATCTGGTCTATTCTCTTGCTTCGAGCAGACTTGTGCTTTGTCCGTGGGTGTTGTTGAGGGTGGCATCGAGTCAAACCCAAAGACCAAGTCATCCATCTAGCCAACAGATTCGACTTGAGCACAAGCCAGACATGAACAGATGCTTTTTAAAAATAACAACAGTAGCTGAAATACCTGAAATTGGGGTGGCGCAAGCGACAAATGGATTAACGTATGATGACCTTGACGCTATGAGCTTGTTTGTTCTGTTTGCAGCAGCTGACACGTGATGGAAGTTCTGAGGCCGATTCGGTCAGTCGACCAACGGGCCGCAAGCGGCATTGCTTAGTGAAACTGTCTTAGACCTCACAAGGACCACTCATCCAGCTCCGGATTCTTTCCTACTATCTTCGCCACATTATTACCAGGTTATCACCTACAGTCAAGGAGGCAAGTTATCGCAGTCTACGGCACGGAATTTGGTTGTTTGCTTTGCCCTTACTTCTAAGTAGTTCCCACTAGCCGTAGGAAGCCGGGTGGTGATGACATTGAAACCGCAGGATAGATGTGCCCTGGCTTAAACAATATGGATGGTGAAGATATTGAGTTGAGAATGTTGTAGTTTTCAGGTTTGTAAAGGTTGCTAGGACAGGACCCTTATCTATGATGATGTGATTGGTATTTGGATACAACCTTACTCCCGGGTTCTTCGGAACTTGTAGCCAAGTACACGTCATTCAGGTTGATTGTTGGCGAAAGGAAAATCGGTAACCTAAAAATGCACTATAATTTTCAACGTTGCTAAACTACTCGGGTTATTTAAAATGATACATCCACTTCTCATGCAATTGTCCTACATTTGTATGGGGCAAAAGCAAGGAAGTCTCTCGACTCACTCTGGAACAGCAAAAAGCCCGCTCACAACCCGTAAAACAACTCAATTCAACCCGAAGCCAAGGACCCATCATTTCAGACAATATGGGCACCATGGGATCTGAAAAGTCTCCTCTACCGTACACACGCTCTGACCCCGTTCCCATAGATGCAGAAACTGAGTGCAAATATATCTCCCGTTTTCAGCCTCGGATCAGCAAACATGCGGCTGTTTCCCAAGACGCCTGCATAGAGTGTCATATCGATCTGTTTGGTATGGACAAGATTGGGAAAGTGGCTGGAGGCATGAATGCGCATACAGCAGATTTTACGGCCCTGTGTGCTCCAGAGGCTCTCCCAGAGAGGATTGCTCTATGTTCTTATTTCATCGAGTATGCGTTTGTGCATGATGGTGAGTGCAATGGTATTGATTTCGTGTTGCAGCGGATTGGCTTACCATATTATCCATATTTAGACGTATCTGTGGATGCTGTGCAAGGGGCCGAAACTGTAAGTAGGCGTCACTGCCTCGATATTGATATGATACTCGGCTTACCCTTTTCCTCTGGGAAGTGCCGTGAAGGGACCAAAACTCTATCGAAGGCTTTAGGACCAGAAAGATATGAAGACCTTCAAGCAATCATGGATGGTGGGTTAAAGAGAAAGCAATCTAGAGCAAAGATCTGGTCAGCTCTGAGGGAGATTGACCAGGACTACCTTGGTCGCTGTCAGAGCACTTTCAAGCAGTGGTATGAGACGGGCCAGCAAATGAGGGACCAAACATTTGCGAGCTTGGAGAATTATTTGGCTGTTCGGGCCCTTGACTGCGGCGCCAAGTATGTCCTACCCATTGCAAGTTTTATTTATTGTTCTGCAGCTAACTCACTCACTACTAAGCTGGGTTGTTCGCATGATGGGATGGGCCAGCGGGGTTGAACTCACACAGGAGGAAGAGATTGAAACCGGGCCAGTGACCTATCTGGCCTTTGTGGTCCTAGCGGTTACCAATGACATTTGGTCATGGGAGAAGGAAAAAACAGTAACGCGGGATTCTGGGGAATCTCTTCCACTAATCAACGCCGTCCAGATGGTCATCCAGATGCAGCAAGTCGATGAGGATACCGCGAAACACAGAGTGCTCGACGTTATTCGCCAGAACGAGAAGCAATACTGTTTCCTGCGTGACGAACACTTAAAAAGACCCAATACTTCGCATTCCGTGAGGAAGTGGTTCCAAATTCTGGAGTTGTCCATGGCAGGCAATGCGCTGTGGAGCATTCATGCTCCTCGATACCACCTTAATGTCCAAAATCCCTACATCTCCCCTTCTGTGGTTCCCTCTGTCTTTAAAGAATTGCAAATAATGCAATCAAGATCTAAAGGTGGAAAGGCAGAGAAGACACAGACACAAAGTACGGAGACCGTATCCGATATCTCTCCCCATTAGAGGCTGACAAAGGCAGAGACAACTGAAATGAAAAATCCACAGACGGTGCTAGAAAGACTAGACGACTTGGTAAGCATTCTGAAAAGACCTTAGAGCCTATTCTGACTGGTGTAGGTCCTTTGGAGGCCGTATGAATATATTACGTCTCTGCCATCCAAAGGTATTCGGCAGCACCTGATAGACGCTCTACAGACTTGGTTTAATGTACCAAGGAGCTCTTTGGCGGCAATTTCTGGTGTAGCGTCCCTACTTCATGAGGCCTCCCTGATGTGAGTGTTTGTACTCCTCTACTGCAGGATTCTCTTAATCTCTTCTTACACCAAGGTTGGATGATATCCAAGACGGTAGTCCTCTCCGCCGTGGCCAGCCAGCAGTCCATGAAATGTTTGGTGTGGGGCAGACCATCAATTCTGCGTGCTACTGCATTAACAATGCGTTACGTCTGGTCCAAGAAATCTCACCTAGCGCAGCCCTGATATTCTCAGGTCGGTTTTCATTCTTCTCTGAAAAGTTTTCATAATAGGGTACTGAACTCCAGCAGAGCAAATGGGACATCTATATATAGGGCAAGCCCACGATATCTCTTGGGCTGGTCAAAGGGCTATCCCTACGGAGGAGGAGTATTTTGAAATGGTTGATGGCAGTACGTGTTCCCAGGTGCCTCTCTTGCACTACTAACATGACGCAAGAAACCGGAGCGCTCTTTGTTCTTCTATTCCGCTTGATGCAGAGTGAAGCCTCAGAAAACAGGTGAGTTACCCACTCTGACGGAGGAGACTATTATCTCACAAATTCAGGAACCTGGATATGTGCCCCTTCATGAATAAGCTCGGACGGTGTTTTCAGATCCGGGACGACTACCAGAACCTTGCATCCCAAGAATATACGTCGCAACGCGGGTTTTGCCAGGATCTCGATGAAGGGAAACCATCGTTTCCATTCATCCGCGCGTGTCATGAACTGCAAGATAGCACGGCGCTCACTGAATGGTTCAAAATGCCGCGCAATGGGGCTGGAGCTTCGGTGGAGGTCAAGAGATACATTCTCAGCCAAATACGAGGCAGCGGGAGCTTCGAGTATACGAAAGAGCTACTTTCGCATCTCCTCTATGATCTAGAGGATATGGTACGGGACATGGAGTCTGTGACTGGACAGAAAAACTGGATACTGCGAAATATACTGGTACAGATGCGGGTGAAAGAAGAGAGGGCCGTGCAGAAGAAAGAGACTACTGTTGGTGAAGTTATGCGTGTTTGGGGCCAATATCAGGAGACAGCTTGGACGTCAAGCCTCAGTTGAGCACCGGTCATACTGTGGGATGGAAATGCAAAGCTGCAGAGGACAGGTACTCTACTAGCATCACAGACACAGAGAATCTAGTGGCTAGAGTGCCTAGAATCCAAGCATGCTAGGGAAAACCCTGGTTTGGAAACAACACGATTCATAAGTATATATGTTGCAGGGTCGGATACAGCAAAGAAATTATGAAGCAAAAGAAACTGCTTTCCTTCTTCTCCTACTTCCTGTTCCCAGCCAGCTTACACTTGCTACTATTTGCCTTCTTCTTCGAGCAACCTTCATTGATTTTCTTCAACCAGCGAGGCAGGCCTTCATATCCCCATCCGTTCAATCACAGGAACTGACTGAAGTCTTAGGAATTGTAAACATCATCCGCACCCTTTACCAAACCCAGGACCAGTGATTACCGGTTTCCTTGGGGATCGCGGCAAGCTATGACTATCGTTATCACTAGCTGCATGAATCAAAATTGTGTATAATTTTATGCTGTGTGGTCTCTTCACAGATCCTACCGACCAGAAAATCTGAGAAGATGTGTGTGCTCCTGTATAATATTCAGTGCAGCGGCCAGAAAGGGCTGGCTGGGATTGCCCAGAGACTCTGGAACTCACCGAGTGGGCCAAGCTTCTACCCAAGTTTTTGGGTGAGATGGCCACGAAAAAAACTGCGAATTATTCCGCCTACTTTGCGAATTGAGACATTCTGCCGTCCACCGACTTCGAAAGACCGCTGGTGGTATAGAGCGTCTAGCTGAGAACCCACAAGTTTTTCTTGAAGCTTTGAATGACTCTCACCGTTCGGAGATGGTCTCCAAGCTTCGCAGAGAACTGAGTATGGCGATCGAAGAAGTCAAGCGCAACAAAGACTTCCTTGAGGGAAGATATCTTGGAGAACTGAAGGAAATACAGGCCCAACGTGCGGCTTTGGACACGTGGGAACGGAATTCGAAGAACGCCATGATTAACGGCGACTCACAATGTCTGGATGACACCGATAAAATTCTTGCAAGCGTTGTCTAATATCTAAGTCCAGGTGGGTCTTGGATAAGATATCAAGGAGCGCGCTGGACAATCAGCCAGGAATTTTCTAATGGAACAATCGACGTCCTGGTCCCACCACCACTCCGGATCCGTAGCTTTGAGGATTTTCCATTACCTGTTGTTGCTAGGGTCCGTGGTAGGCCTAGATACCTATCTGTGACCGTTACTTCTGGTGCTTTATCTGTCCAATGGAGTCGGAAAGCATTAAGAAGTCGCTCCGACCATTGTTTTATTTTCCAACCTCGGGATCGGGCATTACATCATACTGGAAGCTGGACGCTACGCCTCTACACGCAAGATGATAGTGAATTTTCTGTTGGCTTAGAAATATCATGCGTGGATTGATCTGAACCATGCATGAGAATAACATTGGTGGCCTCTTCCAATTGCAATCCCTGGAATTATAAATCCATCAGAGAAGACATATTATAGCTAGCAGAATTACTGTCAAATCCGATCTGCGATGGATATCACATCTCGCTGCCTTTGTCGTCCCTATTTTCGGTGACTTGGAAGAGAGGAGAATCCGCTATTTTTGGGCTATGGCTTTGGTTGACATCCAATCTCTGGCTTTCATCACCTGAAATGTTACTAGTGGTAGGTGCTGGCGCGTAGGGATGCGAAATGCTTTCGCGGACAGGATGACTGGTGCCAGTTTGTATAGCACCTTCATCAGTTACCTCTTTTGCCGCAAAAAGAGCAAAGTCTCCAGAGTCAAAATAGACACGTTTCTTTTTCTTATTAATTATAACTCGAATGGACTAGGAATCTAAACATACCTGTTGCCCAAGTTTGTGTCCGCCGGGGACTTTTCCATAGGCGCTAAGGATATGCCTCTCATGCTCTGAGAGGGACTAGAGTCAAATCTAGTGAGCGCACATTTATTACTACCGCCAAAGGATAGACTTACCTCAGCATGTAGTTCATTATCTCTGTCCAAGCCCATTCTGATTCGTCCCAAGTAGCCTTTACTAGAGAGAGAGCAAGTGATCCTCAAATTCTATCGTTATCAAGAATCCAATGTTAAAACTAGGATGAATGTATCAGCAGGTGACGCCAAGGTGACGCGATAACTTGGATGGGTCGGAATGGTCGAATTAATCAGGCCCGACGGGCACTGAATTATGCTACCATAACTACCCCATTGCGGGGGACAACCAATAGCGACTGGTGGAACTTGAATCTGTGTGTGTTTTGTTTTTGAAAACGGTGACGCGACCCACCAGCTACTGATCCCACTTCATCTCCTCCTTTTGAACTTTTGAGAAATAGCAGCCTATGTTTGAACGATAGGGGATTGTATTTATTCTTCACTTGAATTCCCAGGGAGGCAATGAAAAGATGGGCAGCCAGCAACCACCAAGGGCGATTGCCCCCAAACCAGGAGCTAGCATTTTTCGAGCAGATATCAGTTTCCACCCTCGGCTGCAGAAGGCATCCAGTGCTTGTCTAGAATGCCGGAAACGAAAACAAAGAGTAGGACTTCTTACTTATCCCGTGGAGACTCTTCTAATTGCTATATAGTGTGATGGAGCTAGTCCATGCTCTTTCTGCCGTCGCAGCGGGCAAGATTGTGTGATTGACGAAGAGGGTGATGGGCGTCGCAAAATCGCACTAAAGCGCAAGATCGATTCTCTAGAACAGGATAACGAATTGCTCCTTGGACTTATCCAGACAATACGCGAGGCTGATGAGGAGAGAGCACTTGAATATTTCCGCTTGATTCGGAGCAACTTGGCACTTGAAGACATTTGTCAGCACCTCAAGGCAAATATTGTTGCCGAAACCCCCCGGGGGGAGGCGTCGGCTTGCTTAGAGGTTGTCCATGCTGAACGCCAGACCGCTGGAAGAAATAGTTTATATTGGCAAAACGATGGATTCTATTCGAGCCCCAGCACAATCCATGGATTCAGTGTACGATGACATTGGATCTATAGCGCATCATATATCACTATGTCCTATCTGCCTTGACGACATCGAGACCAATAGCCGGCGGAAAATATTCCTAAGCTGCAAGCTGAAAGCCTTGAAGGTTATAGTTACTGATATTTTGGAGGCTCTGGGGAACAAGAAAATGCCTCAGAGGCTTGTTGCTGCTATGAGGATCAAGGCATTCTTGGAGCATATCCAGCACCTTCTGCCGCGAGATTCGAATAAAGACGAACCATCAGGGACTGTATTGAACCGAGAAAGCACTCAGCTTGAGCCACAAAATACAAGACAGTCGAGCCTTGGTGGTGCACGTGGAATAATGGACATCGATTATCTGACCTCGAGGTGTTAATGTGAATCTGCCCTGGAAGCTAAATTTCCGTGGAAATTCGAGGAGCTTAACGCATATCCTTAGCTATATGTAAAGGTTAATTTGGATTCTAGATATGTGATCGGATGTACGACAAAATGGATGAGTGGTAAGCACAAGGCTTGGAACTAGCATCTGCAGGAGCTAATTAGTTTATGGTTATCCAAATAAAGGAGGAGGAATAAGGAAAATACCCTCCCGGACCCACCTGGAATCATTGAGGATGCCCGGGTAGTTCCTTCCGTCCGCGACATCCGACATCCATTTCGTCCACGGCCAGGACTCGAAATTCCCCGTGTGCTAGGGGCTTTGAGCCTTATCATAAGCCTTCAAGTCATGATGATATTGGTCAAATTGTTGAAAGAAAAAAAAAAAAAGGAGTGGCGGCATATCTCCGTGTCGTGGCAGTATTTCGACAAGATAACCCGGTCGTCGGATGATCAGGTGGGACTGGCCTAGTTTTTTGCGGTCTTGCCCGGTTATTTTCTTCCATCCCCAACTCTCATAATTTTTTATCTCCATCGAACTCGCGGCGGTTTTCTCAACGAGACCACCCGGTCATCGTAGTCCGTTTACATAACATGTGAGCTGATCCTTTTCTACGGTCTGCTCTGGCCCAGGTTTTCCGTTGCAGCTCTGGCAAGCAGAAACCACCGAGCAGATTTCACCAGCGTGGCCCGATCTCCGTAGACACGTCGTGTTACTGTTTGCAAACGCCCCTTGCCCTTGGTCAACTCGCTCCACTCGGGTTCCCACATTGACCGGTCGTCGTAGCATCTTCGCCCCCGACCCGTGACCAGCAAAGAATCCATGCAGCCCTGTTGTTGGTTATTCGGCAGGTGATATATCTTACGTGTACGGAGTAGGTAAACATAGGAATAGCCAGGCAAAGTAGGGGGAACGCCCGCCGATCGTGGCTTCCACCATGTTTGATTTCCTGGACCCGTGAGATAGTATTTTCTGAACTGTGTATGGTAATCTCATCGGTGGCCTCTTCTACTTCTGACGCAAGCTGATTTGGAGCCTGTACTTTCGAGATAGACGTTATTAACGACTCTTTCGCACACTCCGTATCGCTATCGAGCTGTGGATCTTGAGCTTCAGGGATAAGGCGTCCGACAGTATAATTTCCCGTATATAGAAATCCGAGCACTTTCTCAAGAAGGACTGGGTCTGTATTGTCAAGACAGATAGGCTCGCGGGTTACCATACACGACCGGCGAGTTTGGCGAGACTCGCGGAAGCCTCCAGGATCCATCAATGGCGATGCGTAGGCTCTCATTAATTACGGCTGTCTGTACAAGTTCTTGTAGGTGACATGCAAGCGAAGTATGGCATCCTGGGGAGCATGGACATACCAAGTAGGGTAACTGCTCCAGTTCCGACCACTTGACCGGGGTGTCAGAGGCAGGCATAACAGTTTTCAGTTCGGTCCGCAGCTCGTCCAGGACGTCCGGGTTATTTGTGAGATGATACAGAGCCAGTGCCATGGTATTGGCCGTAGTCTCAGACCCAGCACTGAGGATAATCAAACCCTCTTCGCTGAGGCGGGCGAGGGTCTTCTCGCTGGGCGGCAGATTGGGATCCAGGAGGGCGTCGAATACGGTTTCGCGGTTCTCCCGAGCCACGTCTCCCTTCTTTTGCAGAGTCTCCCTAGACTGCTGGGTTATTCTCGAATGCAGAGCCGCCATGACTGAAGATTTGGGATCGATAAGCTGCATTATCTTGGGCGGTATGTTATTCAGAAGGGGGCAAAGGATGGGGAAGAAGTATAACAGATGATTCAAAAGGAAGAGATTCCCAAACGCCTCTCTAAGGTCATTCTCTGGGATTCAATGCTTTAAAGGCGTGCTTCGAGAACCTGGACCGTGCACCTCCTCTTTTTCACCTAATTATACTCTCAATATCATCCTGCAATCGCATTGGGGCCGCTGTCTGTTGTCTAATTGGGTGTGATTCATCCGAAAAAAATTCTCTCGAGCACCGCCTCCGGTTGCTCCTGATGCACTCGGGAGCATGGTGGCGCAGGAACTGGCGAAGATATGGAAGACAACCGCAGATAATAATAAAGTTTGCTTCAATGTTGCTGGGAGGTAGCATCTTAGCTTCTATCACGGATTTGATAGATAATGTACGGGAGGAAGCCAAGGAAGGGTTAACAGACATAAAAATAGATGCTAGTCCGAGTTTGTAAGTCGGGTCAGGTCCGGTAACAAGAGGCCATAGTGTGGCTAAACGAAGGACACTTGTGACGATGGTCCTGTAGAGTAGAAATCAGCCATGGTGGAATCCGAGACAAGCAACACGATGTGGGGATTTCTACAAACAACCAACTCCAAAAATACAGATCACTCCAATCTTCTGAATCATTCGTAGATGCAGTCGGACCACTGCTGGAATCGGAACTACAAGCAAGACAACATCGCTGACCGTGTTGGTGATGGCTGTAGCCAGATACACGGCAGGTCGATCAATGCAAGAACCAGTGCTAATAGCAGCATTCCACGCCCGTTCGATCGGATGACAGGCGAACACTAGGGCAAGCATGAGTGCTACGCTATAACTGGTAATGATTATAGCGATAAACCAAAGAAGGCGCCGGTAGGGCCGGAGGGGGTTCAAGAGTCGGTAATAAAGCATGATTATGGCTAGTTTGGCAAACGCAAGAGCTGGGATATAGATGATTGCAGCGGCAAGGACAACCTAATATATTCATAAGCCAAAAGCGCAGGGGACATATATAATAGATAGGTAAAATACCTTCTGCCAATTATTGAACTTCTGGAGAGTCAAGTCCCAAATATGGACTCCAATCCCATAATTATAGCCATCTGAAGACCAGATAAATATAACCCTTTCTTGAAGAGTGAAAACTCACACAAAATCAGAGTCTGCGTTATCACCGCAAATATCTGCATGGGCATGCTGTTCAACAGAGTTCCGTGCCCATGGGATGAGTCGGTTACGTACCCAAGCGACGATAATACAGACTATATAGACTGTTTCAGCATGGTTACACACCAGTAATATAGATAGGACTTACAATCATCCCACCAGAGGTTTCTTATAATACGCGCCTTTGTGTAGGTGCGCATGACGAGGCAACTCGTGCTGATGGCAAGCCCAACCACAACTAGCACGAGATTAGCCGTTCGCAGCCATATATTGGGGGTATCAAAATCCGGGATGACCCCAGGAGGTGCGGGGACCACAGGCACAAGAGTGGCCATTGCGAGGTGTTTAGAACGAATATTCTAAGGTGTCTCAGGTATTAGTCTCGCACTCTTATCTGGCACGTCGAGTTATTTAATAAGTTTTGTCATGGTGTGGCGAAGCACACGTACTGATTCCATGGTTGTTCCCCGGAGCTCTGCGCTAGTTAAACAGATACTATAGGTTACCCATGGGCGAGGGAATAACTGGTGGCCTACGCTTGTCTCAGGACTTGTTCAGCTGTTTCCGGAAAGATCGATTGCCTTATTCTGTGGAATCATCTCGCTGAAGAAATAACGTACAAGATCGAGAGCGCGATGGCATGCCTTTCTTGCTATCTCGTCATTACTGTGCAAGCCATATACAAATATACAAAACTCAAAAGTGTTCTTCTTCTGTCCTTCACTATATGTTGGCTCTATGCGATTTGCATGCTTCTTCCTATCTATATTTTGCAAGTCTTATCTCGGGTTCTTTGGACTATCCTCGGAAATGACTTTGGTTACATGTCGCGGCGGGATAAACCCATCGAAGAGACGGAAGAATACAGACGGCAGAGTTCCTCAAGAAACCAAATTACGGGGGTATCAGCACGTGACGCCGAGGTGACGCGATGACTTAAGATGGCTCGGATGGTCGGATTAATTAGGTCCGACAACGCAGCTATTTTGCTACTATAACCCCCTCTGCCACCTGAGCCGGTGCCATGTATTGCATGCTCTTGCGACGATGGTAAATATTCAGAGCTCGCATGCTCGGAACTCGTAGCCTGGGAGGCTGCATACCCGGAATTCGAAGGCGTTTGCTGCAGTTCTTCCTCGGGGATCTGGGCGCGCGTGTGGTCGAAGCTTGTCATCCTATGTAGACCCACCCGTGCGCTGTTGCGCCACCCCTGGTCCCGCACAGGCGAGCTAAAGCTCATTAAGCAAAGACTCTGATAACAAATTCATTGAAATTTGCATACCATTCATTGGAGTGCGGATTTCATGGCTGATGTTCGCCAGAAATCTGTCTTCAAGCGTGACTCCTCAACAGCGCGAGCACGTAGCAATTGCTCAAGACTCCATGTCGCACCTGTTACGAATCATGAATGACTTGCTTGACTACACAAAACTTTCCTCCGGCTCGTTCTCACTCCACTCCGATGTTGTAGACATCAAGGAGGTTATGGATGCTGTTATTAGGAACTGCAAAAGCTCCCTGAAAGCAGGGGTAGAACTGACCACTACTGTTCCTCCGGGTTTCCCCAGGCTGCTCCATGGAGATCCCCTGCGAGATCGGCAGGTACTGCAGAATCTGGTGGACAATGCAGTCAAGTACACGGAGAGTGGCTATATTAAAGTCTTCATTTTCTGCTACGAGGACGAACAACAACCGGGCCGTTGCACCGTCAGGACGGAGGTCGCGGATACAGGCATTGGAGTCCCTGATAACGCGGTCAATACCCTGTTTACTCCTTTTACACGTTTCGCTACGTCAGCGACCCGGGCCTATCCGGGGACCGGACTAGGGTTGTCCATCTGCAAGAGTTTGGCCAAACTTATGGAGGGGACGGTAGGGTATTCTCCGAATCCAGAAAGCCAAGGTGGCAGTATCTTCTGGTTCACCGTGAAGATGGGCTGCAGTCGGTCAGTTGCTCGGTCACCAACCATAAACATTGGTTCGCCGGTGCCAGCTAATCGCAATACGGAGGACGAGCTGCGGTTGATTGCTCCTCAGAAACATATATTACTAGTGGAGGACAACCTAATCAACCACACAGTGATGCTAAAATTGCTACGCAGATTGGGATTTGAGCGAATTGATGGGGCCTGGAATGGCTCCGAAGCAGTGCGATTGATCAAGCAGAAGCCACTATCCTACGACGTCGTCTTTATGGACATCTCCATGCCTGTTATGGATGGCGTGACAGCGACAACGCGTATTCGCGAGATGGGTTTGCAAATGCCAATTATTGCTATCACAGGCAACGTGCTGCAGGGCGACACAGACAAGTATATGGCCAGCGGAATTTGTGATTGCATCGCGAAGCCCGTGCATCACGATCAGCTACTGAATGTGCTATGGAAGTGGATTGGACTAGCATGTAGTTAGAGTCAAGAAGAGATGAGAAGGGAAAGGGCAAGAAATTCACAAGCCAGTCAAGGTCTATATTAGGTAGGAAGTATTTACCAGAGTACTTCAGTAATCATAATAAGGGCAGCGGCTGGCGAACGGTGATGATGATACGGCAACCGGGCGACTATCCCCCCCAAAAAGGAAACTAACCGGAAGCGGCAATTCACAGTTCTTCGCTTTACAAAATATAAATTGTTCCGTATTTCGCCGCTCAAATTCCGGGCAGGCTAGAAAACTCCATGATCAAGCTCATTAGCTTAATTCCAAAACTCTTTTATATGAACCAGCGAGTGCGGGGCGGTGAAGGGGACGCTATAAACAAGAAGCCACCGCAACATAATGAGGTCCCAACCCTGGTGATGTTTGCAGTCAGTATTAATAGAATGGTCAGAAGCATCTAGGTTGACGGCCCTATGACCGGTAGGTTTGTTGTAATATGTCAGGTGTTGTAATATGTCAGGCTTGAAGTTTGATGGCTAAAGCGCTGGACACTGAGTTTGCCTGGGCTCCCCTCCTAGCGCGACTGCTGTTGGCAGACAGAATGGTCTACACTGAAGTAAACCCAGTGCAGACGGTTGGAGAAGAGACATTGTTCTTGAGGACAGCGGACCCAACCAAAGTAATTGAAGATGCTCGGGTATTTTTCTCCATCCAGAGCCCTCATAGTCCTGGTCGAACAGATGCCGCGGCTCTTGTCCGGTTCGCGCCTTGCAGCTCTGGCAGCAACCACCACAGAGCAACTGGTCATCATTTCACCGCTACGGCCAGATCCACGAAAACATGCACACTATTTTCAGCGGTTTCAAACCCCTGGCTTCCAGACGGTCCGCTCTATTCTTCCCACGTTGACCGGCCTTCGCCCCGTACCTTGTTTTCTCCTGTTTGCACCAGCGAGTGGAGCGCCACCCATCCTTTTCGGGACCCTGACTGGGACTCAACTGTGACTCTATCTCAGAACACGGACACGTTAAACTAACATTATTCCATCATTGTTTGCCAAATCTGCTCGCCCCGCTACCTTATATTACGCAGCAATTCTCTGAGCCAATGCCTACTGCCAAATCTTCCAAAATCATCATTCATAGCGTCGAC